TCTGCCTTAGTGTAAAGTGGCAATTCTGCCTCCAGGAATCTCAGAATGAGACTGTATCTGAGAGCTATCTCCTCCCATTTGATATTCCTTTCTAGTGTTGGGATTAGAGGCATGCACCACTACTGCCCGATTTCTGTGGCAAACTAGCGTGGCTACGGGGTTAAAGGTGTGTATCACCACTGTCTGGTCTTTAAGGCTGATCAGTGTGGCTGTTTTACTCTCTGAACTTCAGACACGCTTTATCTATTAAAATACAAATGAAATATCACTACAGAAGCCCAAAGGACTAAGAATATATATTAACTCTCAAGGAAAAGCAGAGAGGTCCCTGGAGGTTCCAAGATTCCAGTCAAACAGTCTGGTTGTGAGATTTCTTGACTCCCATTTGAGCAAAGACCTCTCGGAGAAGATGCCCAGCCTTGTGACCTGTGACCAGCTCACCACCCAGTTTCCACTAGGGAGGTTCTTTGACTCTTGGGGCCCACTTCTACAGCTGCAAGAGGGGGTGCAAGTGATACCCCTCTGCAGAGCTGTCAACAGAGCTCATAGGACTGTTCCTGGCAAGTGGGGTACACATGGCAAGCACGAGCTATTATTGTCTCTGTCCCTTGTGAAGGTGACACCGTTCCTAGGCAGTGGGAACTCTGCACTCCAGTGCCATCTGGTGTCTTGTAGCTCGGTCTGGCTCTGCCGTGGCAGGTGCTAGAGAAGTACTGAGAAGCAAGGCTGTGTGCTTCCGTCACGCGTGTGCTGCTGTCACGTGTCCCTCAGGCCGGTGCTCAGCAGCTGCTTGTGCATTCCGAAAACATCTTCTGTGCTGCAAAATACCTCGTTCCCTTGGCAGGAAGTGACTTAGACGCTGTGCGAAAGAAACAGCAGGAAGCCAGTGCTACATCACGCTGGGCTCCGGGGAGGGAATGGGCTTCTCTCCAGAGCAGAAAATCCTGCCCACCTCTCCTCTTGTAGTCTCATCCCAATGTTTGGAGCATCCTGTCTCAGTTGACCTATGCTGACACTTCCTGAATCTACATACTGTCATCCTGTGAAGCCTGACAAGAGTCTCCTTTCAAATCAAGTAACGTCAGGCGTTCTGTCCCGAAGCCTCCTGATGTAGTCCACTTCCAGATTAGCTTTGGGTATCTCCAACAGCAAAAGTGCCCCCATTTAAGCTATGGACTAGGAGCGAGGGTGTGGGAGAACACCCACACAGGGCAGTCACCCCTCCAAGGGCGAGCTTTAGTGTTAGGTGGTTTGTGTGGATCCTCAAACCTCAATATGTAGCTATCAGTCTGGTTCAAAATCATCTAGGGCTGGGGGTAGGGGTGAAGGAGAAGAACGAGATTGGTCTCCTGTGGATCGTGTTTGAAACTGGGTAATGGCTATAGCAGGGGCTGGCTGCACTGCCCGTCTCTACTTTTGTTCATTTTATAATATATGGGCAGCAATGATAGCTGTGGTCCTAACAAAAGAAACAGTTGTTTCTAACCAAAATGATTGCGTGTCCCTGAACCCTGCCCTGTCCTTTGAGATGTCCCTGAAGCTATTAGACCAGACCCACTAGTCAGCTTGGGACTGGGCTGTCTCCCCCTGGAATAGCTGCTTTTGTTTAAGGAAATTGCCCTGCACAGGGATGGGGCTTGACCTATCACGGCATTCTCGCTATAGCTTTAGGGAATGACAAGAATCCTAACAAAGTCCCATGCTTAGGTCTCAAAGACAGGCGAAACTGTCACAGTGGACATCAGGAAACACCGGTGATGGCCAGCACAACCACATATGTCATATATGCAATCCCTCAGCACATTTCTGGAGCCTTCTGGAGAGTCGTTGAAACTCTGTTGCCCGAGGGGTCAGGAGAGGGGTGTTTAAAGAGTCATTTCTCAGAAGCCCACGACTGTTTTCTTCTCCTTTTCTCTAATCTCTGCTTTTCTATTTATCCCAGTACAGACCCCTGTTTCTTAATTTAAAAAAAAAAAAATGCTTTGATTCCTGTAGAACCCTCTTGGAGGGCAAACAACCTGCACAGATGCGAGCCTATTTATAGTCTTTATTGATTCACTCGGTGTGAAAATTTCTATTGTGTTGCTGACATCGCGAAGTGTTTGATTACGGGGTCCCGCCCCAAATCTTGCTGGGGAATGTTCACGTGGCTGTGTCTCACGGCACCATATTACTGTCCTAAATTAAAATCAGAAGTAAAGCCTCACTCAAGGCCCAAGGTTTACATAGGAGCCCTGGACCCTGAGTACTTCTGCAAAAACAAAACAAAAAAAAATCAAAACAAAGCAAAAGTCAAAATATTTCATCCTGTATCAAAAGCCAGACTTCTGTATGAGGGGTGGAGCTCAGAAGCAGAACAGGATCCTGGCATGGAGGAGGCCCTTATAGTGTGCATTTACACACACACACACACACACACACACACACGCACACACACACACGCATGCACTCGTGCACACACGCACTCACACACACAGTGAAAATGCGTTGGACATAATGGTGTACACAGGAAAAGCACGAGTTCTCGGCAAGTCTGAAGTACACAGTGAGGCCCTTTCTCATAAGACAAACATCAGCTCTTGCAGACCTTTGCCTATGCACACGCGGTGGCCCACAGCAGTGCAGGCGATCCCTTCCCTATTCCCAGGACCATTTGTCTCCCAGGCTCCTCCATGACCACTGATACAGCATCTACCCTTCCGCACCCTCCCCTCTTGCTTTGCAGGGAAGGCAGGGCTATCAAATCAAAAACCCCTCAAATGGCAGGCAGAAACTGGAGGTGCCGACCTGCTTGCAGCCTGTCCTGTCCTTCTCCCTCTTCCATTTCTAGTGAGGACTGCAAAGGGCTCTTGTGGAAGGCAGCTCTGCTCTCCATTCCTACATCCCTGCCCCAACCAAGTTTTTTATCCAGTCATCAAGTCATAGCGCCGGAAACAAAAAAAAAAAAATCACAATATAGAAAACCAGCAACACCGATTTCACAGATGTTTCCTGATAATACCCGTTCTGCTGCTCAAGGCTGGCCCTTCCAAGGACTAGCTTGTATGCCTTGGACTCTACTCTTTCTCTAGGCTTCTTGCCTTCCCTCCCTCCACCTGGCTCCAGGGCATCTGGATCCCTGAACAGCTAGTTCCACCTGTGACCTCCTGCTGCTGGCACCCTCCCTGGGGATCTGTCACTGAGAATGCGTACTTTCCCTGTACGATGCACTACCCCCAGGTCCTCCTACTCCTACCCCTCCTTCTTTATGGAACTCCTGCTGCCTTAGAGATGACTTCCTCTTCCCTGCTTGAAACTCTAGAGATGGGTTTGGCCCGAGAACCTGTCCTCTTCTCACTGTCTGTCTACAGGACAGCCTCTCTCCAGCTGTGCTCCCTGCAGTGAACTGCACTGTCTGTTTACCTGTTCAACAGGTCCCAGATCATTAAACTCAGCCTCTCTAAACTGCTGTCTAGACCTGCTCTCACCAGTCTTGGACCTCTCTTCCCTCAGCCCCCTCTCCAGGGAGACCACAAACATGGCCGTCCAGTCTAGCAAACCCAACTCCAGTTCATCTTTAAAGTCTTCATTCCCCCTTTTAAATCTCTCCCTCAGCACCATCTGGCCACAGGCAAAGCCACTATCCCAGGCCACTTGGACCTCCAGAAGGTGCTTCCTTGCAGCTTGCTGGCTCCATACACCGATGACTGTATGCACATCTAATAGTGGACTTCTTTCTTCAGCTCCTTAGTGTATCCTGGATCAAGTGTTTTCTTAGAATGAATGCAAAGATCTCTACAGGCCTTTGCCTCTTTGGGTTTCCTCAGCACCACCTTGCTGCCCTATCCGAATTATCCCACCTGCACTGTCCCTTCCCCAATCTGCTTACCTGTAATGTCTCATAATACCAGCCTCCCCTGCAACACTGTTGCATGCTGTCTTCTGTTTACATCACCCCAGCTGTGCCCCCTGCTCCTGCCCACATCACCCCAGCTGTACCCCCTGCCCCATCCCACCTGTATCTCCTCTCCTGCCCACATCACCCCAGCTGTATCCCCTGCTCCTGCCCACATCACCCCAGCTGTACCCCCTGCTCTATCTCCTCTCCTGCCTACATTACCCCAGCTGTACCCCCTGCTCCATCTCACCTGTATCTCCTCTCCAGCCTACATCATCCCAGCTGTATCCCTGTTCCGTCCCACCTGGATCTCCTCTCCTGCCCACATCACCCCAGCTGTACCCCCCGCTCCATCTCCTCTCCTGCCTACATTACCCCAGCTGTACCCCCTGTTCCATCCCACCTGAATCACCTCTCCAGCTTACATCACCCCAGCTGTACTACTCCACTTGCTCACCTCACCTGCACCCCTACCTGTGCCAGTCCATTTATTCCACTTCACCAGTCCAGCCACACCCCCTCAGGCACTTCCATGGCTCTTTATAAGCCACCCTATGCTCACACTGATTCCTCTTCCTCAATATTCTTCTCATCTCTGCTGTCCCTGGCCAGATGGCCAGCTTGAGGCATCCTGACCTGGGCAGCATCCTGACCCTCTTGTCACAAGTGTTCTGAGTGCCGAGTGCCGACTGTCCCAGCCATGTTTGCAATTTAGCATCTGTTGGTGGGATCAGTTTACCAGTGTCCGTCTCTCCAGTAAACCATAAACTCCAAGGATGCTGGAACTCTGTCTTGTTCATTCTCCTTGGCTCCTACCTTGAGGAATGAAAAAGACTTTGGAAATAGCTCCACGCCACCCAAATGCTCTTATAGTTCAGCCTCCTGTGTAAGCACTCAGCATTTTTAATTTTTGAGGTTGACACTCTCATCTGTCCTTTGCACCAGAGGAAGCTAAGGCGTGGAAGAGTTAGGGGAATTGTTCAGAATCTCCCGGCCACAACTGCTTAATACCAGGCCGTGTTGCATCAACTCTGGAGGCTGCGGAAAGGGTGGGGATGATGGGCACATGGGTAAAACCATCATCTCTCTGTTTCTGTCTTTGTCTCCCTGGTCATCCCCATAGCTGGACAAGATGCTGGACCCCCAGGTGTGGCGGGAGGCAGCCACCCAGGTCTTCTTCGCCCTGGGGCTGGGCTTCGGAGGTGTCATCGCCTTTTCCAGCTACAACAAACAGGACAATAACTGCCACTTCGATGCTGCCCTAGTGTCCTTCATCAACTTCTTCACCTCGGTGTTGGCCACCCTCGTGGTGTTTGCTGTGCTGGGCTTCAAAGCCAACATCATGAATGAGAAGTGTGTGGTCGAGTAGGTGGCATGGCCCCTCCGGTCCCTTCTTTCCCTGCCTGCCTCACCCAAGGGTAGCAGGTGGGCTGGTCAGGATGAGAGGCCCCCTCCATCCCATAAGGGATGAGGTCATCATCTTCCTCAGCCCTGGCCCACAAGAACAGACTCCTGGATGTTTCTGTCAGTGGCCTATGGGTGCCCTGCCTGGGTTTGTGGGAGGGGTCTCTCAGGTCCCACACTTCCCTTCTTACCCGGTCCTGCCCTCTTTGCAATGCAGGAACGCTGAGAAAATTCTAGGGTACCTCAACTCCAACGTCTTGAGCCGCGACCTCATTCCACCCCACGTCAACTTCTCACACCTGACCACCAAGGACTACTCCGAGATGTACAACGTCATCATGACTGTTAAGGAAAAACAGTTCTCGGCCCTGGGCCTGGATCCCTGCCTCCTGGAGGATGAACTGGACAAGGTAGTGGAACAGACTGCCCTTCCTAGGACAAGCAGGAACCCGAAGATAGCTTAGTGGCTGGAGCTTGGGAACAGACCTTGAAAGCCCATAGAGCAATGGTTCTCAACCTTCCTAATGCTGTGACCCTTTAATACAGTTCCTCATGTAGTGGTGACCCCCAACCATAAAATTATCTCGTTGCTACACCATAACTGTAGTTTTGTTACATTTGTGAATTGTAATGTAAATATCTGATATGTGGGGTATCTTATATGTGACCCCTGTGAAGAGGTTGTTTGACCTCCAAAGGGGTCACGCCCCACAGGTTGAGAACCACGGCCATAGAGTCATGCATTTACTAACAGGCGAAGACTCACTATGCACACAGATGGAGAAAGGCTGTAAGTGTCGAGCTGCCCAGAGGGAGGCTTCTGATTAGATGGAGGGCCAAAGGAAACACTGAAATCACAGGAGCCCTTGTCAGTTTGAGCCAGGATCCCCATTTATTGAGCAGGCTTCTTCTATGCAGGACCCTGTGTAAACAATCCACTTAGAACAGCAGCTGTGGACCAGGTAAATGCTAATTCCCTCCAGTTCCCATTTCCTTTGACCCCCCGCGGCAGATCTATGAGTCGAGTATGAATAGTGTTCCCAGTTTTATCAATCAGCAGCCTGTAGGTTGAGGGAGAGGGTTGATCAGGGTCTCCCAGCGAGTTAGTTAGTAAGCAAGAAAACAAATTAGTGCTCTTGTTCCAGAGTCCTGGTTCCGCCTCATCCCTTGAGACGCCTGCCCTCACCACTGCCCCCACTTCCACCATCACAATGACACTTAGCTCCTGGGCTAAGAGCGGAGGTGCTGCCCCTCATTAGTGCTCAGGCTGAAGTGGGGATAACTTTCTCGCGTTTGTATTTGCACCTCTGAGCACTTTCAAAATGACTGTTGTGCAACAGTGGTACCAGCAAACCAATCAGACAAATCCACAGATCCCAGGCCTCTGGCTAGAGCCAAGGCTCATGTTGGGGATAGCAAGCCCCATTAGCCCCTGAGTTTCTTCGTGAGACCCGAGGCTTCCCATTAGGTATCTGAGAACCGTGCCAAAGGCGGCTCCATGGCTTGGAGCTGTGGTTTTGTTGGTAGAGTGTTTGTCTAGCATCCATGGAGCCCTGGGTTTGATTCTGTGCCCTTCAATAAAAAGGATTAACAGAAGAAAAGCAAAAAGACAGCTTCACTAGTCCGTGGGCGCGGCATCCCACTGCCTCTGGCTTCTCTCCCGTGCTCAAGAGCAAAGGAGCCCAATGGCAGCATCCTCTCTTTCCACCCCTTCTCACGGCCGTGACCTGGTCTTCTGACAACGCTAGGCATACAGCAGGCTTTTCCACACTAGGCAGCCTCAAGAGTAGCTAAATGGCAACTGAGAACTCAGGTGGGGTCTTAAGTTCCCTCCAGGTAACAGGGCACTTGTGAGTGGCGTGAGCAGGCAGTGTGGCCCTGTATTAAAGCAATGGCTCTGTACTTGGGCTGTCCACGAGCCCCCCCCCCCCCCGATAGCTTTAGAAAACGTCACACCAGCTTAACCTTCGCCTAGTGAAATCGTGGTCTCTGCAGGAGAACCTGACAGGGGTGGGTATTTAAAGACTCCAGTTGCTTCCATTGGACAGCTGAGCCTGGGTATATTGCATTAAGGTCTGGAATTCAGCAGGTCAGAACTGTGGTTGCAGCGAAGATGAAGTCTTAGAGGAGCAGGGTCCTACACTGTGTGTGTCTCTAGATGGAAGCATCTTCACCTGGACCACTGGGATCCTGAAACAACCTGTAGAATCTAGGTCCCCTAGGGAAACTCTCAGGGACTTTTTTTTTTAAACATTTTAGTTTAGTGTGGTAGCTTTGAGACAATCTTAATCTGTAGTCTAGGTAAGCCTGAACCTCAATGTGAAGTTCAGCTGGCCTTGAACTCGTGGCAGTCCTCCTGCTTCAGCATCCTGAGTGCTGGAGTTTTAGGTGTGAATCACTACAGCTAACTTCCTGCAGAGATTCTGATGTTCACTATGGTTTGAGATCCTCTCTTTCAAGCTGAAACAATTCAAGTAGCAATGAGGAGCCCTATGAAAGAGGGAACAGTGATGCCTATTCCTCCAGAGGGAAGGAGGCGGAGGACTTCCGGAGTAAGAGTAGCCCCCACTCTCTGCCCCTCCCTCAGTCTGTACAGGGCACAGGCCTGGCCTTCATCGCCTTCACTGAGGCCATGACACATTTCCCGGCCTCCCCCTTCTGGTCCGTCATGTTCTTCCTGATGCTCATCAACCTGGGCCTGGGCAGCATGATCGGGACCATGGCAGGAATCACCACACCGATCATCGACACCTTCAAGGTGCCCAAGGAGATCTTCACAGGTAACTAACTCCCTGTCACCCTGCCAGACACCAGCCCAGCATGCGCATGACAATTAGGTTCTGAATCGATTGGGCAGTTTGTCACCCCATCTGCAGAAGGCTCTTCTCCCTGACGACAGACAGGTGGACCTGGATGTGCCGTTCAGGATACCCGTCTACCTCTTCCCTGCATCCCTGGGGAGGAGGAGCGGGGTAGTGTCTTCCTCCTCTCAAATGGGAAAGCTAAGGTTTCCTGGGAAAGGATCCTAGGACTGATGAGTTGAATCATCTCAATTCAGTTCAGTATTTAAGTGGAGCAGCTGCCTTGGGCTTGGTGCTGTGCCCGAAGCAGGGTGCATGGGGTAAAGAAAGCCGAGTTGATGCCTCCCTCAAGAGTCCCCTGCCTAATACAGGGGGAGCTCAGAACCTCAGCTTCCAGCGCTCTCCTGCAGGGCCATGCCTGTGAATCGTAAAGGGGGCAGGCTGCAGGCCTGCTTGGGAGCAGTGTGATGGGAGGTAGCCGGGTCCCCCCAAACCCCCGAGGTCCCACCCACCCTGCACCTTTGCCCCCACACCGGCCTCTCGGCTCTCTGTAGTGGGCTGCTGTGTCTTTGCATTCTTCGTGGGGCTGTTGTTCGTCCAGCGCTCCGGAAACTATTTCGTCACCATGTTCGATGACTACTCGGCCACCCTGCCACTCACCGTCATTGTCATCCTTGAGAACATCGCTGTGGCCTGGATTTATGGGACCAAGAAGTAAGGAGGTCTTAGAGGAGTGATGGGGACAGGTCGGGGGAGGGCGGGTTCTTTCTTTCCCATGAGGGCTTTCGGGGGAAGTCCTGTGTTCTCGAGGCTGCTTGTGAAAGGGGCAAGTGATTACAGACTATCAGAGCTAACGGGCCCCTTGGCACCAGGAAACTGAGGCCTCTAAAGAGGGCAAGAATATTGGAGGCAGCTTGGTTAGTAAGAGACAGAGCCATGCTAAGGACCTTGGGATCCTAGGTTCAGGTCCTGACGTCAGCCTAAACAATTAACTACTGCAGCCCCTTTGCTGAAGACCAGTCTGTAGACGGCCGCTTAGCTTGTGTAACACTTGGCTGGGATTCCAAGCCCCCCTTCCACCCTCCAAATAGACTTCAGCAGCCTGATTTATAATTTTAAGAAATGGGTTTTGGCCTCAAGCTTAGATTTTGCGGGGAAAGAGGGTTTAGCAATAAGGTCGGGTCTGGCTTCATGGTCTGACCCCAAAGCAGATCTCCACTTATAGCCAATTCTTATTTACAGTCAAATCTTCATTCCCAGGGACTCCCAGGACCGCCACCTTTCTACCTTCTTGGTGTTTACTGTGTCCACTGTCCTTGTCCTCAGAGAGGCCCAGGCCTTCCACTGTGTAGCTCAGCCTGAGCCTCCTTGATGTCCAGATGGGTTTGGAATCCTGTGTATCTCATAGGGGACATCTGCTTCCTGGGAGGGCACAGGAGGAGGAGGGGCAGGGCATAAGAGAAGGAGCGCCCAGGACAGGTGTGAAGACAAGAGCCTATTATTCTATCATGTGTGAGACCGACGCAGGATTGCCACGAGTCTGAGGCCAGCCTGGGCTACACAGTAAACCCCTGTCTCGAAAGACAACAGAAGGGAAGAAAGGAGGAACGAATTGATGGCGGTATGAGAAAAGGAAGGGACAGTGGATTCTGTGTCCACGCCACCCGCCGGGGCTGGAAGGCTCTGCCGGAAGGGCTCGGACTGTGGTGTGGTCCACAGGACTGTGGACTCCTGTGCGGCTTGTGGAAGCCCCTGTGCCTGTCCTCACAGTGTCCCTTTCCAATGCACGCAATCAGCTATCCATAATTATATAGAAAACCAACGGTACTGAAAATGGACTGAGCATCGTTTGGTGTGGTTTAGTGTGTACTCTATTTGTATCACAGTAAGTCTGGAGATCTGGTTGTAGGTCTAGTAACGGCTGCCACTTAAGAGCAGTGGTGGACAGACGTGCTTCTGGTATCTTCCATAGCTGGTACAGGATAAGAAAATGTCTGATTCAGTCTATTGCGACACAGTCGTAAGTAGTGCTAACGCTCTTGAGGTTGCTTGCACTTACAACAGAAGGAATGGCCAGGTTAGCGTGATTGATGTAAAGATGCATTTTGTATACCACCCAAAATTGTAGCCTGCCTGCCTCCTTGAATTCTAGCGCACAGTCTAATTTAGAGACCTCAGGATTTTTAGAAGCTTCTTCCTTCCCACGCTAGGTAGGTGCATTACTGCCTCTTCTCCAGCAGGGGGAAGCGTGAGCACGGCAGGTGGGAGGCAGCAGCACCCTGAGAACCCAGAGCTTTCTATCCCCATCCACTGGTCCCCAGCCTGCCTAATGCATCAAATCTCCGGTGTGAAGTAGGCAGAGCAGAGCCTCCTGGAGACCACTGGAACCTCACACTGTGAACCCCGAAGACAAAGGCTAGCAGAACCCAGAAGAGATTGGTCAGAAATAAGTGACTGTAGGGGAAAGGGAAGGCTTGCTGGCGAAGGTACCTACTGTTCTTGTCTTCTTCTCTACCTGGCAGGTTCATGCAGGAGCTCACAGAGATGCTGGGCTTCCGACCCTACCGCTTCTATTTCTACATGTGGAAGTTCGTGTCCCCGTTGTTCATGGCTGTTCTCACCACAGCCAGCATCATCCAGCTGGGGGTGTCGCCCCCAGGCTACAGTGCCTGGATTAAAGAGGAGGTGAGTGGTGGCCCCCCACAAACCCCGGGATCACTTGCAGCTTCTCGGGCCTTTACCGTAGCAGATAATCGGAACAAACCTTTCTAGGACAGCAATTCCATGACAGGTCTTGCCAGGTGCCCTGTATTCCTAACGTGCAGTCTATATGACAACCCTAAGGAGTGGCGTTATTCCTCTAGCACAAACGGAAAAACTGGAGTTGGGCAAAATCAGCAAACTCCTTAGGTGTTCCAAGGCAGTGTCTTTTCGTGTCTATGGTGTGGAATTGCCTGCCCTTTCTACAGATGTAGATACTGAGCCCCCCCGCCCCCTTTAACCAAGGTGATCTACTGAACTCAAGTAGCGTTCCCTGGGGACACCATCTCTACTGCTGGTCAGGGTGGAGGGAGGGGAGGAGGGGAGGCCATAGGCAAGGGTGGGAAAAGATCAGCCTGTAGGCTTGGGGGGGCATTGCCTGGTGCCCTGCAGCACCCTCCCTGCTCTCAACCCTTAGGCTGCTGAACGCTACCTGTACTTCCCCAACTGGGCCATGGCACTGCTGATCACCCTCATCGCCGTGGCAACCCTGCCCATCCCTGTGGTGTTCATCTTGCGGCATTTCCACCTGCTCTCCGACGGCTCCAACACCCTCTCTGTGTCCTACAAGAAGGGCCGCATGATGAAGGACATCTCCAATCTGGAGGAGAACGATGAGACCCGCTTCATCCTTAGCAAGGTACCCAGCGAGGCGCCCTCCCCCATGCCCACCCACCGCTCCTATCTGGGGCCTGGCAGCACATCACCCCTGGAGACCAGCGGCAATCCCAATGGACGTTATGGAAGCGGCTACCTCCTGGCCAGCACCCCTGAGTCAGAGCTGTGACCACCGCTCCATTCTGCCCGCCTCCCCTCAATGCCCAACCTGCCCACTTGGCTGGGCCTGGTCTCTTCCTCCATGGTAGCCGCCAGACCCAGGCCAGTCCACGGAGAGAGGATCTGCCCAGCCTTGTTCCCCACCTTGTTCCAAGTCCCAGCAGACTCCCCACCTATGAGCAGGGGACGGGGGATAATTCCATCCCCTATTCCAGGCCTCCAACCCATGTAACTTTTTGAGAACTCTTGCCAAGTTGCAGCCATGTAACCACAACAACCCCAGTATGGGGGAACTTCAAGTGGGCACTTTAGGAGTCACCACCCCCTCTCCCTGTGAAACCCACCACTTGCAGTTCTCAGGTCTTGGGGAGGCTCGCGTTGTGCTGTTGGTATTGGTGGTAGTGGGCAGAGGCTTCAGGGCCGAGGGCAGAGGAGGTAGACTTTAGCCCAGTCTGTCGTCACAACAGAGTGCATCGTCCTGTCAGCCCAGCATGGCTGCTGCTGAGCTAAGATGGGGATAGTGACACGTGTGTCAGGACTTGGGCTTGTAAGGAAACTCCTCAGTTCCGTCTTATGAGATAGGAGGTACCCTCTGGCTTGAGTGAGAACCTGAGCATTGAATGGAATGCTCCACAGCCAGCTCATGGAATCTTTGAAATGACTCTGTTTCTCCTGCCAGGGGCAGATGGGGTATGTTCCTGATTCTGCCTGGAAGCATGGTGAAAGGAGGGGGTCACCTTAACCAGGGTTTAGCCATTTTTCGGTCTCCAGTATCCAGCCTGGAGCCAGGAGCGGTGGTCTTTGCCTCTGTCCCAGGGAGAAAGGGGGCAGCACCAGGCGAGGTTTGCAGAGCACAAGCTGAAAGGCCCCAGCACAACCTAGGTTTGGAGCACAAGTGAAACCCTCTCTTCCGCTCACACCCGGAGCTTGCTTTCCTCTTTCGTGGCAGCTTCTCTCCTGGAATGGGGGTTCCTGGAGTTCAGGGCCACGTCACCAGGAACCCTCGTTTCTAGGGAAAGACAGGTCATTTCACTGCCCCTTCCGGCTGCCACTTGCTCTCCCTGTTGCACAAGCACAGCCGCCAGTGTGCACCTCGTGTGAAGACACCTTGGACACTTCCCCAAACTCCCCCAGCCTGTTCAGAGACACAGCACAGGTAATTCTGGGCAGGATGCAGGTTGCCGGAAATGGGAGGCAGTGGCAAAGCAAAGAGCCTCTGGTTTTAGGCCCTGAAGGAAGGTACAGCCTCTGACAATGTCCCTGTCCCTCTCTCAAAGCTCCCTTGGGAGAGGGCCTGTTTCAGAGCAGCCTGTAAGGACTCAGAAACTGACCTGAGAATCAGGGTATCTCTCTGCAGTGTGACCTCAGAGAGATGGTGTATGGATATATATATCCATATATATATGTGTGTGTGTGTGTGTGTGTGTGTGTATGTGTATATATATGTATGACTGGAAGACTAGGATGGATGGATGGATGGGTGGGTGGATATATATATACACACACATGCATACATGCATATATATGTATGTATGTGTGTATATATGTGTATATGTATGTATGTATATATATATATTTCAAAGTTTTGGTGGACAGGAACTGACCTGGGCAACTTCCAGAGGTTTCTGGGGTCATTTTCATGGCCCTGACTTCCCTCAGTACTGGCAGACTAGGCCCAGATGCCCACTTTCTACTTCTATGCCTACTGGTTACCTCCCTTCCTAGCCTGAGAGGTTCATCCCCTCAGCCTGTCATCTCTCTCTTCCCTCAGTTTCTCATGCCTTCTCTCACTTCTAGCCTTCTCGGTTCCACCTGTCCTAGTATTTGAGGTGAGAGGGAGTCCGAATCTCCCTGAAGAGATGCGCTTTGGGGGCTCGGCATCCCATCATCGGCCCCCTCACCTGACAACACCTCCTCCCTGGCCCCATGCCTAGTCCCGAGCAGAATTAGAAAACAGGAAAACCAGGCCCCGGCGGACTCCACTATCTATACTCCTCTCTATGCTATTTCTATTGTACATTCAATCTGTACATGTGGGTGTAAATGCTATGAAATGACAAACCCAATATTATACTGTGGCTGGTGGGCTATTTTCATCCTCAGTGCTGTACAGATCTATTTTCATTGTATATTTGATATATTTTTAATTTTGTAGCGTGGCTGGGCCAGGCCCCAGCCTGTGAGCCTGCAGTGAGTGGGGGGAGGGGAATCGAGCTGAGGCTGTTTGCTTATGCGTTGTGGGCTCTGTAGTGTTTGTTGTAGCCTTTAGCCGTAGGCCGGGAACCTGTCCTGGTTGCGTCTTTGCTGTGAGTTGGACATAGGTCCTAGAGGACGTGCTCTCTTTCTCCGTGAGTGTGTGTGAGTGTGTGTGTGCCTGTGTGTCACGTTGGTAGGTGTGCGTGCATAAGGTGCTGATCTGTGATACCCCCACCCACCCACTCAGTGTTCACCACCTTCTGAAGACCTGGGTCTTCCTCTCAGCTCTATGGGGAGGTCTCAGGACAGACGCTTCAGAGAGCATTAGCCATGGGGAAAGGCATGCTTCCCACAGGTGACTCATGTCTTGTGTCTTACACCTTTGGTGGGAAGGAGAGCCTGGGGGAGGAGCCCCGTTTATTTTCCAGCCACCATTCTGTTGTTCACCCTGGAGGCACCCGGTCTTCAGCAAACAGCACTGGGTTTCTTAGGACAGCTGTCCAAGGGAGGCATCTCTCTGCCCTTCTGTCCTACATTTGACCTTGAAAGAGTCCTGAGTACCCAGAAAGCAACAGCTACTCCTTAGACCTCTGCTGGCTCCTCAGGAGAGATGAGGTGAAGTCTCCGGACACTGAAGATCCAGCCCCAGCGTCCTTGGAGGACCTGGCAGTGAGGGCCAGGGTCCCCACTGCAGCTGGCTAGTGCTGCCCATACAATGCCCACCAGGAGGCAAGGGGTTTCGGGGGCTGGGAGTCAATTGAGTTGGGGCAAGGCAGAGGTACAGCTGAGGTCCCCTGTTCTGCCTGTCCGCCAGCCCCAATCACCAGCCTCTTGCTCAGGGAGTGTGAAGCCTGAGGCCCAGTTTGAGTGGTGGGGGAGATGTGAGGCATCCCAGGTAAAGCAGGTGAGGTTGGCGTCTGCCATCAAGCAATAAATCTTCAGGGGCTGCTGCTTTTTAAGTGCCAGGAAATGCCCTCCAGAGGCAGCCTGTGTGAGCCCTGAGGCTGTGAGCCAGCCCCCACGCAGGCCTGCAGTATTAACAGGCAGGAACTACCCTTCTTCCCTTCCTTATTGTAACCCTCCCCCAACCAGAGTAGGCCCTACTGTGAAAAGGGAATGAGAGCGAGGAGGTCGCAATGCACCCTTGACTCTGTGCACTGCCGGTCCCTCCCCTTAGGTCTGAAAGGGAAGGGAACTGGGGGAGGAAGGGTCCAGCGTCATTTCCCATGAGAAGTCCTACTTTGTACAGACCTAAACACATATCAGGCAGTCACTTCAGGTCCTGGCACAGGTTCAGAACAGTTAGAGTCCATGTGTCCCGGACTGGTCAGAGCCCCGAGTCAGGATACTCAGCCCAGGAGAGGGGATGAGGCATTGCCGCCCCAGGGCCCCTCCTTCATCTCCCCTACCCTGGTGTACAATAAAGTGTCTGTTGTTACCACTCTCTCTTGCCTTTCTTACACTTACAGGGGCACGGGGAGCTGAGGGAGGCTTTGGAACAAACGTGTGTTTTTATCCTCATGGATGCTGTCTGAGGAATTTGAGGATGGATATCAAGTCAGTTTCCTGGCAGCCTCCCTAGGTATTAACGATGTGCGCACAGTTGCTGGCCTTACTGTGTCTCAGCGACTGTACAGCTAAGGTCTTTTCTCTGAGGGAAATGCTTGGAACCTATGTTCTTTTTCTGGGCGAGGAAAATGAGGCTCTGTCTAATATGAGGATGGTGCTCAGTGTCCTCTTCCAGGGCTTTTCAGGGGCCACTCCTCTGCCTGGCTTCAGGGAAAGGCTATATATGGACACTCCGCAAGGGTGCAGTACCAGAGGTCTGTGGGGACACAAAAGGCAGGGGCCTGACTTGGTCCCTAGGGAAGTGGGCTGGTTCCAGCAAGCCGTGCTCTAAGCGCTGAGAGTCCCCCCACTGCAGATGCCGTCCTTCGGAATCTTCAGCGGAAGCTACAGGTGAAGTATAAGGTGTGATACCCCAAGCTTTGTTATATAAGCACCCACTGAATGCAGGACTGTGAAGAACAGAGAGAGCTGGTGGCGGAGAAGCCCCTTTCTTGCCTCCACTAGGAGCACAGTCTCCGGAAGAACCTCACTCTCATCCAACCCCATCCTGGTCTGGATCAACGCTGGGCCCTCTCCATCTCATTGAGCAGGGCCTTCCAAAGGGACCTTCCATTTCCTGTCCCTGCCACCCATTGTTCCACGAGCAGCCAGCAGGTGGCAGGAACTCCTTTCTGTCCACATTTTCGCCTGAGAAACCTCTTCAACTGTCACTGACTCTGCAGGATATTCATTAAATAAACATTAGGAACACACCATGGGGCAGACTCCATGTTAGCCAGAGACACCCGCCCCCCAACAGGCAAATCAGCACCCAGTGCCCTGATTTGACCAAGGGAGGCACCTCTTTTGTCCCATCAAATCCCCCTACTTATCTCTCAGACAAGGGAATGTCCCAGTGTTAGACAAATCATTCCATACACAGCTACTCGGACTTTTGGGAAATCTGGTTGAAATGGCAGCTATCCCTCCGGGAGGGGTACACAGACACTAAGACACAATACAAGGCTTCACGGCAGGGGAGCTCTGAAGCCAAGTCCTCAAAGTCAAGTTTAAGTGTCAGGTGGGTCTTGTCTTTCCTGAGAGACCTTAGGCAAGTTACTTATCTCTCTGAGTCTACCTTTTCTAATTTGGAAGAGGGGAGGGGGAAGAGGAGGATGGGGAGAGAATAGTCTGAAGGAGGTAGCACACCCTGAATCAATTATCTCTTGTCGTGCTCCGAGTCAGTCCAAATTTTAAAACAACCATCATACCATACCTCATGATTTTGTGAATGAGGCATTCCAGTAGGGATTAGGCCAGCATATCAGTGGGAACTAAGGGGTATTCAGTTGGTGGAAGAGCTGGTCTGGAAGTCCCAAGGGGGCCTTTCTCACATTCACTCAAATATCTAATTCTTGGGTAGAAATGGGTAGGAGTGGGGTTCAGCTGGGCTTGCTGGTCAGAGTGACTTTCTGCAACTGACCTTTCTGACACAGTTCATTCCTAGGGACCAGATTCTCACTTGATGGCTCACAGTGCCCGGGGAGACCATTTCAAGAGCAGAGAAGTGGAAACTCAGCTGGAAGCTGCCTAGTTCTTGAGGCCTGGGCCTGGGGATATATCACCTCCACCATGGTCTATGGGCCTTGGCATCTGCTCATAGGGCACCTAGACCTCACTGTAGATTAGAAATGGGAGGATGCCCATGTAACAAACCCACTCTGGGGCATCAGATGTCTCCATCATCCATCGTTGGCATGTTTGTGGATGCTTTTCCTGAGAGGATATCAGTTTGAAGCACAGAACTGAGACACACAACGAATCTCTCCTAATGAGGAGGTGAGCAGCTAAATTTGGGGCCTGAATGGAGGCAGTGAGCAGGAAGAAGATGATAAGGGCATGCTGAAGAACACAAGAGAGTTTCTGCCCCATTTTCACCCCACGGGCAGGCAGTGTGAGGTTGTTCCAACCGTGAGTCTGTCACCAACCTTGGTTAAGCCACTTAACCGTCTGAGCCCTATATGACAATAAAATCTCTTCCTTGAGATGCTGGAAGAAATAAACCAACTCCTGAGGTACCAGTTGGAACCTAGCAGAGAACTTTTTCCATAAGGGGTTCTAACATATGATAAGTAAGCATTGCTCTCTTCTCGATTCCAAGCCTGGGTGAGTGCATCTACCCTGTTTCGCCTGTGCAATAAACAAGCATCCTAGGACCATTGTTAAAAGACAGTCTCAACCTAACTCTGGAAGAAGCCAAGGAAGGAGAAAAGAGATGTCCCTTTCCAGGGAAGCGGGTGCTCACTAATCCCACCAGGGTCATGTTTGCTCCTTAGCCACAGCCAGACACAGAGCCTCATCCAGTCGGTAGGCATGGGCTAAAGAATGCCATAAACTCCAGGAATGTGGCGGCTCATTTGTTGGTGAATTAACCCTTCTCTCATCAAGAAGATTCTCTACCTTTCCTCTTGAATTTGGGCAAGCAAATCCCTCCTCTGACCAGCAGAAAATGGGGGGAATAATACGATGTGACATGCAAGGAAGGGTGCATCAACAAGGAGAGTTCCACTTCCTCGCAGTGTTCTTGGGATAAGAGTTCCTGGGGGAGCTCGCCGCTTTGTGAGGTTAGCCCTGGTACCTCACAGAGACTACAGGGCTAGAAGCTGCGTGTTTATGCTTCTATTGACGGCTTCAGCTGAGCTCTTAGCCCATGGCCGTGTCCACCACCAGCCATGTGAGTGTGTCGTATTGAACATTCGGCTCAGGAGCCTCACGTATTTGCAGTACCAGTGGATGTGTGGTGTCAGTTGCATGAGTTCCATGTGCTGTCCAGCCGAGCCCTTCTTAACTTTCTGGCCCATGAACAAGAATGGATGAAAGAAAACGACCGTTAAACTTACATTTCAGGTCAATTTGTTTCACAATGAAAATAGCCAGAAAGTGAATCTGATGGCTTCTCTGACCAAATCACCTCCTATAACAGTTGAGGACATAGAGGCCTGGGGTAAGAATTCCTACAGCCAAGCAGAGGGGAAATCGTGGCCAAAGCCTGCTTCCCAGACTTCCAGCCCAGTGGATTGTCTACCACACTGCAAGGCCCTGATGGGAGGGACCCCAACCGTCTCCTGTTTCTAACCCTTGCATCAGGCATGGCACAGGTATTCAGAGTGCCTAGAATTGTACTAATCACTGAGAATCTGCACAAAGGCTCAGATCAGGCAGGGTTCCTTGTCGTCTACAAGCAATCACAATGAGACTTGGTGTGTCCACCTCCCTGTGGTAACAGACACACTAGCTTAGGTGGGAAGGAACCTGGGAGCTGGAGAGAAGACGAGAAAGTCAGCAGAAAACGTATCATAAATAAGATCACCCCATGTAGGCCAAGTGCTGGCTGCACAGCAAAAGGACCTGGTAGGAGGCCACTCTCGGGCTCCCAGGGTCTTCCCTCATGTCCAGGGCTAAGCTCAGAAGGGCTGCATCTGTGCACTTTATGATTGACCTAACTCAACTGGGTTTGAGTTGTCTCTCCAGACAGCTGCTCCCCTTTCTCCGGGATCCTGCTGGAGGGGATCCGGCCCATCCGTACTAATTAACTACTCTACTGGAATGAACCTGCTCCTTTGGAACTTATCCCAGATGGGAGGAATCTGTACTTTTCTGGATGGGAAGATGTTGAGTGCCAGGGAGTCGTGCCAGCTGGGCCCTGCACTGATGTGTGTGTGTGTGTGTGTGTGTGTGTGTGTGTGTGTTCACGTCTTGGTCCTAGCTGCCTCCCAGAGCCCAATAGCCTTGAAGGAAAAATGGCTGGAGGGGTCCCTTAAGCTGCCTCTGTGATTCTCATTTATACTGTTCTACAAGTGGAGACCACACAAGCCTCTGTACTTTCTCTGTTTTGGGCCCAAACCCAGCTGTGTAGCTCCATCTCCAAGGTTCACGGCTGCTGCATAGACCTAAAATCCCTTAACAGGAACATGCCTCTGAGGTAGCACTGGGTCCCTCCCAGCATGCCCTGCTCCCTCCCAGCTCAGCCCTATGACACTAAGCCACTGTTTCTGAAGCCCTGAGGTTTGACCCAGCCCTAGCTTATGATCTGCACCTTTCTGGTCTCTTCCTTTTAAGAGATGAAAGGGAATCAAAGGGCATCTGGAGTTCCCTGAGATTTTTAAAGCAATACAACCCTGCCTGCAGCTCTTGTCAGAATCGGTGTAGCTGGCCTCCACATGGCCCACAGTGCTCTGGGCTATTGTCTTAGGTACGTTCTTTCTAGACCCTTCCTGAGACAACTCTCCCATTTTATTTGGAGCCCGAGAGCCTGGGGGTGGGGGGTGGAAGAATAAAACGAGCTGTTGAGCAAACAGGTTTGCAGTCTTCTCTTGCCCGCCCTCCTCACCCTGCACAGGATAAAAGCCTGCCACATGTGCCTGGTGATGAGCTCTGATAAAGCAATTCGATTTGCTGGGCCGAGAGAGCGCAGGGCATGCTGGGAAAGGATGCTGGCTCTTTGGCCTGGATCTGAAAAAGGAGGGGTTAGTCTCTGGAACGATCTGGAATGCTAAGAGAGAGACGTGAGCACCAACGGATTATGACTTTGCCCTGATAGCCATAGGCCAGTTCCTTGGCCTGGAACCTCTCAGAAAAGGGGATCCCAAAGGACGGTGGAAAACAGGTCAGATAGCACCTGTTACCCCAAAGAGGGAGACCATATACATGTCCTTAATGGGGGAAAGACTTTGGTGTTAGCCTTTCAGTTTCCCTTTGGCCTCTGTAAGGAGGAGAGAGGCTTCTTCGAGAGCCCTACAAAGGATACAAAGGATACAGGAGCTCGAGAGCATGTACCAGCCCCACTCTGGATTTCAGCTTCTGCCCTTATTCTTTGGCTAGCCCATTAATTCTAGCTAGGAAACTTACTTGGTCTGCTCTCTGATTCCACAGTGTGAACTGGCTCTGGGTGCTCTTTCCTACAGCCAAAAAGAAAAATCACAGGTGAGAAAAGAAGAGGAAAGACTAAGACAGAGAGAGCCCTAGGATAAAGCCGCAGGATGAAGCTGGGGAGAGGATGGGGTGAAGCAGGGGTTGGAAGTAGGCTTGCTTACTTTTGTACGCTGTCAGGATCTTGGGAAATGAAAAACAGAGAGAGTGGGCATTTTCCTAGGAATGTTAAGGTGGGGCTAAGCCTTGAGGTCTTGGAATCAGCAGGAATCCGTGGACCAGCAGCTATTAGGAACCAATAGCAAGCAGCCCGTTACCCACACACCTAACAGCTTGGAGCAGAGGACAAGCTAGTTAAGCACCACCAGGGGGCAGCACCCACCCACTCACAGTAGGGCAGGGGGCTCACAGGCTCACATTTTTCAGGAGTGTAGATTTTTGGAAGAGAATAGCATTACCTCACACACAGAGATGAGAGCAATAGGCCTTGGCGTGCCAACCTTACTATCCCAGAGAAAAAGGTCCACGAAGTGGGTTAATCCAGAGCTTTAGAATAAACTGTCAGTAGGAGCTGGCCCTCCTCCTAGAACACCTTTACCATTTTTTTTTTCTTAAGCTCTTCTTGTGACCCCCTAGCAGGGCTAGAGATGGGGGCTGTTTTATCGACAGATGTATGTTCAGTGTCTGGAATAGCTCCTGGAAGGTAGTGTGTATTCAGTGAATAAATGAATCAAATCTGAGATACTGTGATCTGTTTTCTTTCTCCCTCCCACCAGTCCCATCCGCTTGCCCCTTTTCTCAGGCTGAAGAATGGAAAGTGAAGAGAGGGTCAAGTTTGCCAGGACACCATCCTGAGAGGACGTCAAAGCAATCATTACCGCCAGTTCTTTGATATTCCCGTGGGAGTTCTTCCTTTCTCGCTCCAGCTCTGGCCAGCCCTGGATTTTCTCAATCATGTTGCAACATTTGTTTTTGCTGCAGCCAAACTCTGTAATCCTGACAGCCTGTCTAAGGAGTCAGGGGGTGCACAAAGAGGATCCCACAAATGAGCTCTTCTGACTGTAGTGAAAATGAGGGTGTGGCCCTCACCTGTGTGCTAGTATAAACCATCAAAGATTATTATCATTATTTACTTCATTCACGATGAGACCTTTGCTTATAAAAATCCCTTGGATTTATGTTGGATTTTTAACCTCTCTCTGAAGAACAGGAAAGCCCCATGCTTGTGGATAGTTTGTTGTTTTGTTTGCCTCATCCAGACATCAGATGGCACACAAGTAGTATGAGGTATGATGTGTCAATCCCCCTGAGCTCTGTTTAAACCTCCTCTTCATATCATACAGAGCGCCTGCAGCAGAGAGGCAAAGGAGATGGAGAGGAGGATAGTAAAGACATAGGTGTGGTTCTGGGCTTAAAAAAAAACAACTAGAAACCAATGAATCTGGAAATTGCTCTTGGGACACGGCCAGCAAGATCCAATGCTTCATGTTTTGGATATGGCAGCTTCTCAATTACTTAGCAAATGGGTCCTCAGAGGCAATATGAAAAAACACAGTGCAGCCTAGAGGAACCCAGAGACAGGGAGAGAAGATGAACCAGGGGGAAAGACAAACTGCAAGGAATGGGACAGTAATAGGACACTAAGATGGCATAAGGCAGAGCGTGGCCCTTTCTGTGGTCCCTTCATAGCAACAGGGAGCAGGGCCTTCAATCTGATGATCTTCAGGGCCACAGGGCCACACTCATCATTTTTTCAAGGAGAGCTTCAGTTTTAGGACTTCCCTCCACCTAGACCAAAAGCACTTCCCTGCTCAGGGACATGCTGTCCTGGCTCCAAGGTGGAGGCTGTGATGACTATGGCAGAGGTCATGACTATCAAGATCTAGAGCACCCAAGATACGGGCCATGGTGGTCAGAAGGCCCTAACAGTGTTTCCGGAGGAGGAGAGGACAGCTTCTTTGATGTACAGCCTTACCACTCTATTCCATCCTGGATTCCACTCACCCACAATGAAACATTGAAACCGCAACAATACGACCGGGTTAGCTGCAAGCGAGACACAGGTTAAGTTCTGTGTGAAGAGGTTCGGAGAAAGAGAGAGGTTAGAGGTCAGGAGTCGAGAGCGCTGGGGTGTCACCAAGGGCTGCAGTGGGTGGAGCTGAGGGATAGGGAGAGGCGGGGAGAGGGGCGAGAGGGGATGGCGGCGGAGGCGCGCAGGGGCGGCGCGCAGCGCTGGGCACTAGCTGTGAGCGGGGTACGCGCCTCGGTTGGTTTGGAATGCGCGGATGAAGGCTGAGCTCCGCCGCCCGAGCTCCGCAACGCACCTAATCTTCCCGGCGCCGCGCCGCGCCCATCCCGCCCCGCGGAGGGCGCGCCGGGGTCAGGCGGGGCCGCGAGGAAAAGGCGCCACTTGGAGCGCCGTAACCGCTGCCATCGCTGGAGGGAGACGCAGAACCCTCGGAGCCCCATTCTTCTGGCGCCCAGGCGCTCCCTCCCTTAGACCACCTCGCGCCCGCCCCTAACAGCGAGCCAAGGCCGGCGCCCCGCCCGGAGATGGGCAGACGCGTAGATGGCGCGGCTCCCGGCGCCGCCAGATCGCAGGAACCCGGCGCCGGGGCGCTGCGCTGAGGCTCCCTCTTGGCGCGGCCCTGGAAGCCTGCAGGTGTCCTTGGCCATTCGGCCGCCGCCCGGGATACTCCTTCGCCAGCACCGGGTGCCAGATTCTTCAGAGCAGCCCCGCCCTCCAGGCTCTGCGCCGCGCAGGACGCCCCGTCTGAGCCCCCCCTCGTCCCGCTGCGGGGGCCGCAGCGGGACATCCAGCCCGGCGCAGATCCCGGCCGCGGACGCAGGACCCAGGCTCTCTGCTGCGGGCGCGCTTGTTTTCCTGCTGCCGCCTGGTCCTACACAGCCCCCGCCCGCCGTTCCCTCTCTCTCGGTTCAGCCCCGCCCGCCATCGGTGCCCCGCGCTGGATTTATGAATGGGGGGAAGAGGCCACATGCAGCCACCGCCGTCTCGAGTTGACCGCACACTGCTCGGCCCCACAGAGCTCCGGCTACCCTAAGAGCATCCGCCTGGCTCCGGTGGCCGCTCCGAGGACTTGTTGCTGTTACGCTGCTGCCGTTGCCGCCGCCGCCGTTGCCACCCGGAGAAAACCAGCCACCTACAGGCTCGACGCGGTCTGGGAGCCAAAAGGTGGCCCGCGTGAGTGTGAGCGCGCGCGCCGCGGACCCTCGCAGTGCTCTGGGACTGTGCGCTTCTCGGTCTTTCTGGGGTTGGGGGGCGTGTCCCCGGCCCAGAGGATCCTTGGGCTTGCCCCTACCTCCTGGGACCCCTGGCTTGAGTCCTCGACCCTGGTCTCCACTTCCTGCCTCCCTAGGCTCTGCCTGCCCAAATCCCAACCACCTGTACACCAGAGAAACCCAACTCCTCCCGCTCCGCGCCCTGGGGGGTGGGGAGGGAGGGAGGCAGGGGCAGAGCCACGCCGCAGAAGGGGCCGCCACTGTCTCCTGCCTCCTCCTCCACCTCCTCCTCCTCCACCTCCTCCTCGTCTCCTCCCCCTCCCCGGTCTGACGCTGCCTCCTTGGGAAGGGTGTTTGGAGGGCAGCGGCCGCCCCAAGCCGGAGCCCCGCAGCGCTTCTTATGATCAGCTCGGTGTGTGTCTCCTCCTACCGCGGGCGCAAGTCGGGGAACAAGCCTCCGTCCAAAACATGTCTGAAGGAGGAGATGGCCAAGGGCGAGGCGTCGGAGAAGATCATCATCAACGTGGGCGGCACGCGACATGAGACCTACCGCAGCACCTTGCGCACTCTACCGGGCACCCGCCTTGCCTGGCTGGCGGATCCCGACGGCGGGGGTCGGCAGGAGTCGGATGGTGGCGGTGCAGGTAGCAGCGGCAGCAGCGGTGGCGGGGGCTGTGAGTTCTTCTTTGATCGGCACCCGGGTGTTTTTGCCTATGTGCTCAACTACTACCGTACCGGTAAGCTGCACTGCCCCGCCGACGTCTGTGGGCCTCTCTTCGAGGAAGAGCTCACCTTCTGGGGTATTGATGAAACTGATGTGGAGCCTTGCTGCTGGATGACCTATAGGCAGCACCGCGATGCTGAGGAGGCACTGGACATCTTCGAGAGCCCGGACGGGGGCGGGGGTGGCGCAGGGCCCAGCGATGAGGTTGGCGACGATGAGCGGGAGTTGGCCTTGCAGCGACTGGGCCCCCATGAGGGAGGCGCGGGCTCTGGTGCTGGATCCGGGGGCTGCCGTGGCTGGCAGCCCCGAATGTGGGCGCTCTTCGAGGATCCCTACTCATCCCGGGCAGCCAGGGTGAGTGGCAGAAGCCAGGGTCTCCCCATCTCGGTGTCCAATGGGCTCTTGTGCTGGTGTTGTTGGGTCCGATGGGGGCGGGGAGGTGGAAGGAGACCGACATACCTGGCAGACTGTACCTGCCTGCCTCCCAACTCCCTCATGGACCCTTGGAAGTCACCCCCTCCCTCCTGCATGCTCCATTAGGAGATTGCACACACTTGACTTTCTTCTTGGACCTAATCCCAGCTGTCTGCCTTGCCACATGCCCCTCAGTGAGTGGCATGCCTTCAACTTGGCTTTTCTCTCTCCTCTTTGGTCAGCGTAGTTGCCCTGAACAGGACCACAGTCCTGGAGTGCTTGAATTTGGCCTTTTGCAGGGAGTAAGGCAGGATCAAGAGAAGGAAATCATGGATTGGGTTGGAAGCTTACCTGTTTCCATCTTGCCGGCAGCTCACTGTGCACTCAGCTAAGCATTGCAGAGAAGGGGGGCATAGTTTCCAGAATGCCTAGCTCATAAGAAGCAGAGATCCTCAGAGCCCAAATCTTTCCCGATTGAGGACCTTTCTTCCAGGGAGCAGGCCCTGTCCCAAGGCTTTCTGCACCACTGTCATAGCCTGGTGTCTCTGAGGTGGACGGGATAAACCTACTGCTTTGGGCTCTGCAGGGTCCCAGGACACTGGATAGCCAGGAGCTTGCTAGTGATGGTATCAGACTTGTCTCTTTCTGCTCTGCTCTTTCTGCTCTGCTCTTTCTGCTCTAGCACAAAGTGGCTTCCCAGAAAGCCCTGGTTCAGGTTACACTGGAAATGGCTGTGTGGGGAGAAGGGGAAACAGGTTGATTTAGACAAGACCTAGTTCCTCCCCTGAAGGTGGTAGTGGTATGGGGGGTGCTAGGAAGATATGTATTCATTCATTCCATCATGCTTGGTCAGCTAAAACCCTGAAGAAGGCCTTAGAAATTTAAAAATAGAAAAGCCTGCAGGCTGGTATCTGCTCTCATGGCCTTAGCCTAAAAGCTGGCTGAGATCTGTCTGGGAGACAGGAGAAAGAAAAGAGAGACAGGGTGATGAGCTGTGTTTGAGATCTGTTTCTGTGAGCTGAAGCTGGTCTGATTGGAGTCCCAGGTTGTCATGTTAATGAGTCTCAGAGCCTTGCTCTCTATCTCTCCTCAACACCCCACGGACTGGTCCTCACCCTAGTCATGGGAGAAAAAGTTCCACTTCCTACCCAGGGGAGAGTGGAGGGTTGAAGAATGCAGCTAAAGGGATGGGTTAGGCTGGTATAAATATAAGCCAGGGTAATGCAACTCCTCCCTGGAAGAGAGAGGAGGTGGAGATCCTAGCAAGAGGTTCCACGCAGGGCTGGGACTTGAAGTAGCCACTGGAAATCTGGACACTTTTCCAGGCCCTGTCTATTCTAGCTGCTTTGGTTTAAAGCTTTATGGTCCTGAAAACCAGCTAAGAAGTAGGGAGCACAGCAATGCCTCTGGCCAGTGCACCCCTGCTGGGACTTTATTAGCCCTGATGGCCCTTAGTTTGCCTTTACTAGGAGAGAGAGAGACAGTCAAAAGTCATTGAGACTTTCAAAGTCACGGGGTAGGGAGGAGGCAGAAAGGGGCCAAAACCAGGGAAGCCTTTATGGAAAGAGATGACTAAGGGAACTGGGCCCTATTTCTGAGCATTCTGGTGCTACTGCTTCCTTTTCCCTCTGTAATTGTGAGAGACTCTACCATGAAGTAGAGGGTTAGTTCTCCAATTTAAGCAAGGGAAGAACCAGGATTCGAACACATTAACTGTCTGGCCAAAGCCATCTTTAGTTTCCATCTTTCAGATCATTAGCACAGATGGGAATAACGCTGTGGAGCTCTGGCTGACAGGTGTCAAAAGGCTTGCCCACAGCTGAGGAACACAGGCAGAGACCAATTCTGAACTGTTCTGGTCACACAAGTGAGAATGCACAATTTATTAAAAAATGAATTTTATTGAGCATCCTGTATCAATACTTTTCTTTGAAGACATTACATTAATCTCTACTCTTTCTAATGAACTTAAAACAATGTCCAGTTAACAGATGGAGGCTGGGAGCAAGTAAACCACTGGCCTGGGATTACAGCGCTCCTGCAGGGCTTTGAATCAAAGCTGGGGGTCCTTATACTGTAACTACCACAAGCCTTTCCTACTGGGTGAGGCTGTTTGCTGGGTGAAGAAGTGGCTAGCTCCTTGCTCCAGCCTGCTTGGAGTCCTGAGCCTCTTCTCTACCGTGAATAAACATCACGGTAGAGGGGACAATAGAAGGGCTACTTACCCTGCTACTCCTTAAGATTTGAGGGCCCAGTGGTAAAGAGAGTTCGGAAGCTGCATTTGTTTTCTCCACTGACCCCCAAGTTGGCAGAACTGTCCCCACAGAAGCTCTCTGCTCTTGGATATGTGCGCGTCCCATCCCAACCAGCTGCAGTTGCTCCGGGAAGGAGCTTGCAACACTAGGGGTTTGTAGACTCACAAGGTCACCTAGGAGGGCACCTGAGGGCAGAGTTGCTGTGCTCTCGGCCTTGAGGCATCTCTTCACATACAACAGTCCAGTCATTTGAATAGTACGTTATGACAGGAACAAAGCAGACGCAAACACAAAGTGAACTGAGCTAATTAGGAAAGCCTGTTGCCTAGCTCCTGGACGGGCTATCTATCGGCTGGTCCATTCAGGAAGGCTCCTAGGCAGGATGATCACCCCTACTGCCTCCACTGTAGTCAGGCCGCTCCTGCGGTTCTGATTCTGTGGCGTGAGCTGAGGGCAGGCTGGTTCTGTCTTCAGCCTCTCATGGACACTGCCCTGGGGCAGAGCAAAGGCTTCCTTAGGCTGTTGTATAACCCAGGAGAGGCCAGGAGAGGTTTGTGCAGCACTCAGGTCTATAAACTCTTGCCTTATTCCTTCTGAGAACAGACTAGAGGCCTACCTCAGGGACCCTGGGCTACCTTGCTTCCTTGTTCTGTTCTTTAGAGTTCCCAAGCTGCGATGGATTTCTTTCAGCTATCAGCTGTATAAAGGGCCACGGCCCTTCTCTTTTGGCTAAGGTTCCTGGTTGGATCTTTTTTCTTTCCATGTTTCCCTTCAGAATAGAAGGGGCTCATCACAGGAGCCCTCAGGAGGGCAGCTAGACATGAATGTTTCTCTTTCTCAGGCTGTGTGATAGAAGCTTGGCCTGGGCTTTCTTCTGCTACCTCCTCTGGCTCAGGAGAGGCAGGAATCGTTCACCTCAGCGAACAGATATGAATGGGGAGTCACAGTGACACCTGTCCAGATAGCACAGCCCGTAGCATTAGAATCCAATCTCAGCTCTCAAGCGTTCACTCTGCTGCTACTCCTGCCTCGCAGCTCCAGCCCAGAAAGGGTCTCTGGCTTCCGGAGGGCTTGGGGGTGGCCCTCACTGGAGAGCCTCCTCCTCCACTCCACTCCTGGCCCCTTCTTTATTTCTTATCATTTCTAAAATTGCCAGGGTCTGACCCTTCGCTCTCACTTTTTCACCAGGTAACTTTGATTAAAAAAAAAAAAAGAGGCCAGATTTGGTTACAAATAAATATTAGGTTGTGGGGCAGGGGGTCAAAACTTATGCCCCTTTTTAGAGGTCTGACATTGTTGGTAGCCACAATAGTCATGGTGGGCTTCAGAGTGAGGGCCGGTGATGCCGTGCCCTCTGAGCTTAGGTACAGGGTGAACATGAAACATGAGTCCAGAAGGGGAGTGCCAGCCCACCCTGGGCAGTCAAAGGCTGCAGACTCCCTGCGGATCCTGCCTCAGGCAGCCTCTCGGGTTCCTCCGAGTGTTGTTTCTCTTTCTCACTCTGAAGAGATTAACATTTGCCTCAGAGCATCTTGTCTATGGATGATGAGTTGTTTCTGTTTGTCACCATTTTGGTGAGAATGTGGAGTGGGGGAGGGGAGTGAAATTAAACAGCCTCTTTTGGAGACCCAAGGAAGAAACAGACAGGAGCAGAGTTAGATAACCGGGCTCTGGGGAGAGCTAGCTCCTTGATCTTTCACCTCCACAGTGGACATTGTTAGTCTAAATACGAGGACCAGCCACTCCTAGCAGCCTGGATACTACCAACCCACCACGATGGCCCACCTTCCTGCTGATTTTCCTTCTGGCCATGAAGTAGTCACCCAGTGCTTAGCAAGGAGTCCCGTCAGAAGTAGGTTTGGTCCGCTATAGAGTGTTGTCAAGGTGCTAGGTCCCTGGAATCCGGAGGTACTCCTGGGGATACCTTTGTCACCTCTGGCCCCAGTCCCGTAGCTAATGATCCCTTCTCCTGACAGCTTGCCAGTCCTGTGAGAAGAGGCTACATTTCCCTCGGTTCTAGGCATCTAGAAGACACTGACTTTGCACTTGCTGCATGGTAGCTCCATGTGCTGGGTTCTAGAGACGTAAAGAAGAGGCCAGTGGTCTGGGGAGAGCTAGAGAAGCTAGAGAGGCGTTACTGACAAGGACCGGCAACAGTAATAGCAGATGTGTTGTGATGGGTGATGTGGTAGTTGTAAAAGATAAAGCCCAGTAGGCAGAGAGGAGTGACAAGCCCCACCTCTAAATGGGGTGATGACTTATCTCCTGGAATAATGGCTAAAAGGAGGCATTGCTATAAAAACACATGGTGCCCAACTCTGCAGAGTCAGGGACAGGACTGTCTGGCCAGGGAAGGCAAGTCTGCATGGGACATGGCAGAATGGAACTTGACCAAGAAAGAGGCTCTTGGACAGTGACTTGGGTTGGATCAGGTCCCATTTGGTTGAGGACTCACAGGAAGGTGAACACAGGGGAAGGGCAGCACTAGTTGCTGGAACTAGGGATTGCTGGCTCACAGCCAGGTTTGGTAAAAAGAAAGGGGAAGTGGCCCTCAGCTAGGATAGGGCCTCATGTAAGTCTCACTTAGGAGCCAGGAGCCGCTTGGAGCTGCCTTTCTTAGCAGGCCCTGTTCCTTCCTTCCTTTTAACCCCAAGGCTCCCCACTCCCTAGCCAGCACTGCCTGGGTACTAAGATCTGACTTCACCAGGAGGCTCAGCCCCTCACCCTGTCTCCACAGATCTTCTTCCTCTGCAAGCGTCTTTGGCTGTGTTCTCAATTTTTCCTTCTCCTACACGTCTTCCTTAATATAGGTTTTGGGCATGAGTATCTTTATGTTTATCTGTCCATCTGTCTCCCTGGTCCTCCTTCCTTGGACTCCCCTGCCCAGCCCCCACTGGTTGTATTCAGTTCCCATTGACTAGTGTCTGTCACCTCTCCACTCACCCAGCCTCTGCCAGATTCCGGGCCCTCCGGGCTCTGTGCTAAATTTCACAGGTATCATTTCTTTTAGTTCTCAAACAACCGCACTAGGTAGATTCTGCTCTCATCCCCTCTAAGACTTGGGGTCTTCGCTTGGTTGCTGCTGCTGCCTCAGGCGCTCTTTCCTTTAGCGCTCCGGTCAGATGTCATCTTGTCCTTGTGATCTGGCCTGACCATCCGGTTTGAATTAGCCCCTCTTTCTCTCCTAGCCTCCTTGTTCTCTTTTCCTCCCTAATGCTCATACCATTGGATATGCTATGTAAGCTGTCTGTCAGCAGTTTCTACCCACTAGGATGCAAGATCCAAAAGTCAGAAGTGTTTCTCTAGATTTTTCCTGCTGTTCCCAAGCATAGTGGCACATAGTAGGTATTCAAGTTTCCTCTTGATAAATGACGATTTTGAGGCTACTTGGGGCTAAGAAAGTCACAGGGGTCTCATAGGCGTTTGATAACAGAACCCAATTTGAACCCAAAAATGTGACCTTTCGTTTGTTCCAAGGCAGTGGAGCGGAAGGAAAAGCTGGTAACTGGGTTGGTAGTTGCAACACTTGGGCCTTTAGTGATGGGCAGGTCCCTTGAAGGCCATCATGGCCAGCATGTATGTGAGGGTGTCTCAGGGGAATAGGGAGCTGGAAGAAGTGTTGTCCTGATATCCAGGGTCTCCTGTCCCCGGTGCTGAGGCCCAGCTACCTCCCCTAGCAGACACAGTCAGTTCACACCAACAGTCTTCTGCCTGGGCAGTTTTGACTTCCATTGGAATCCACAGCTTGTGTCCTCATGCCAAGGAGAGAGCAGCCAGTTTCATCCGTGGCCTCTAGGACAAACCGCTTCTAGCCTTCAGGTTTCCTTGTCTCTAAAAGCACAAAGGAAGCTGACTTGTATAAACTTCTGAGGATTTGGTGGCTTGTCGGTTTTAGACGCGGGAGGGGGGCTCCCCCAGAGACTACCTCCACCTCAGCTCAGTACATGCTGTGGTGCGGCTCACGCATCCTCCAGGGAGAGTGTGAGGTGAGCACTTGTACCGTCCCAGCGTACAGGGAGAGAATGGCACAGAGGGCACACACTTGCCTGACGGATTGTAAGAGACGGCAGACAACCCAGCTGATGCCACCAGCCTAGTGCTCTTTAGCTCTGCTTTGCCCTCGGGCTGGCAATGCAGGGCCTGATGAGAGGGAGGCTCAGGCGCAACTGACAGACTTACTCTACTGCTCGTGGGGGCTAATGTTTAAACACAGGCCGTGACCCCTTGCAGGTTGCTATTGCTGTAGCTGCTGTCTCTTGGGATCCCTTTCGTCCTGGGCAGCCTGAGTCAAGGGCCTTGTGGGAAATGAAACAGTATCCCTCCCTCAAGGATGAGGCCTGGCAAAAAGCTCTAATTACACCAGCCAACCACTTAGGAAACAATTGTCTGAGAGCAATGTAGAGGAGAGGAATACTGGAGGTCACTGGAGGCCCTAAAGGACCTGTACCACCTTATGGCAATCTTGGGACGGCTTTGTGGAAAAAAAAAAAAGGCAAAGAGACCACAGGAGTTGGGGATGTTTCTGCCCCATGCGAAGGTGGTCTGGGCCTTCTGTCAGTACCTGGCAGAGGCAGCTGAGGAATGTAGGCTGTGGCAAAGGCACCTCCCTCCTGCTTCTGTTCCTTGTACTCAGCCCCTTGGCAGCTCTGCCTGACCTTGTTTTTCCACATCACTAATTAACCTCACACTCAGGCTCCCAGGTGGGCAGACTCTGTTGGCTAACGGTCCCTCAGAGGGAGAGAGAGAGAGAGAGAGAGAGAGAGAGAGAGAGAGAGAGAGAGAGAGTGAGCGAGCTTGGGCTTCCATGCCTCCTGGCAAAATCAGGAAGTGCTGTCCTAACCCCTCACTCTGGTTCCTTCTGCTTCTTGGAGCACAGGGTGGAGCCAGGACCTTGGATTCCACAGCCTGCCACCGGCAGGCACTGTCACCAGCTCCTAATTGGTGGCCATGGAGAGCCTGCAGTAGCCTGCGTTGTCTTGGCAGCCCATGTCTCAGGGGAGAAAAAGTGAGGCCAGCAAAAGCACTTGAAATTTACTTTCCCGAGGAGAAGTAGGTAGATGGACCCTCTTCTCCAGCCGGTTCCTCTCCCTGCTGTCTATGTTCAACCCATCTAAAGAGTAAGGGAAATAGCACTGTCATGTATGATGGGGACCTGTCGTGTGAAGGCACACATCCTCACTCTGGAATAATGGCCACCAGGGAAGTGATGGCGCAGGCGCAGTCATCGGGGCCTACATCCCTGGGCCTGTGAAGCAACTCTGCTCAGGGATAGTAAAGACGATGTGGTATAAAGGAACATAAAGACCGCACGGTCTTGGGGTCATACCCGGTTATTACGTGCTCTGGGCAGTGTGGTCCCAGAATAGATATGCAACCTCTCTGACCACCAGTTCTTCCTATGTGAAAATGGAGACTTGCGGTCTGTCTGCCTTGTCACTAAGGAGATGGAAGGCAGAGACACAGGTAGGGTGGCGGATAGTTCCGGGGAGAGAATAGATGGTGAATGTCAAGACCAAAGTTCCTTCCTTGACTTCTTCTATCCCAGGGAGCTCTGGGGATGTGGTTTCTGGCTTGGCTTTCCATATCCTCCGTGTTTTCTGTTGGTGTCTTGTATTGCTTACTTCCTTTCAGCTTAGGCACTCTATGAGGAACCCCCCACCCCCGACAGGCAGAGCTGAGTGCTCGCCGCACGGACATAAGGAAAAGGTCAGGTAGAAATTGGGGCAGGGCAGGCACGGAGTCGTCAAATGTTGTACAGCCACCAACCTCCCTCAGTTACCTGTGTGGGTTTGGTTCTCCACCCTGCGGGGGAAGCCAAGTCCCGTCCACGAAGCAGGACCGGGAGCAGGAGAGCGGACCCTGACAGTGAGTGTCTTGACAGTGCCACCGAATGGCAAGGCATGAATAACCAATGAAGGTTCTGTAATTGGTGTTATTACACATGAATCTCATCTCCATTCGTAATGACTGGACACTTAGTCCAGCCGTTCCTCTGCCGAATACTGCTGTCATCATTCTAGCTTAGATCTCCGTGGCTGTCAGGTCAGCTGCTGCCATTTTGGCCCTGATAAGTACAGTTCATTTGACTTGAAAGCTCAGCGTCCCATTAGCGTTAGTTTGCAGAAAAGGAGACAGTGGTTGTTCTGAGAGCCTCCTCCCTCAACCTCCTGTTGCAGGCCATGGCTTGGAGTTTCTGTTGCTGTGAAGAGACTCCATGACCACGGCAACTCTTATAAAGGAAGCATTTCATTGGTGTAGCTTACATTTTTGGCGGTTTAGGCCATTCTCATTGTTGTGTGACACGGAGGCTTGCAGACAGGCAGACATGGTGGCTTGCAGGCAGACAGACACGGTGGCTTTCAGGCAGACATGGTGACTTGCAGGCAGGCATGGTCCTGGAGAAGTACCTGAGAGTCCTACATCTTTACCTGCAGGAAACAAGAAGTGGTCTGGGATTCTGGGAGGTCTCTCGAGCATATGTGAGACCTCAAAGCCCGCTTCCACAGTGACACACTTCCTCCAACACAGTCACACTTCCTAACAGTACCACTCCCTCTGGGGGCCATTTTTCTTCCAATCACCACAGCCCGTGTTTGTCTTCATTCCTGGACTTACCACCGAGGCAGAAGGTGGTTCTAGGTGGCGGGGGGGGGGGGGCCCCCCCCATGGAGGCAGATGGTGTTAATGGGGTCAGTTGGCAGAAAGTGGGTATTCCTTACAGCCCTTGTCTCTGGACATCCCCTAAAGCAATGGACCTTTATCTTGATGTATATCAGGGTCAGCTAGATGGTTTCCTCACGTTCTTCTTAGGTTCTGCGTCCTCCAAGTTTCTTTTTCAGTAGGTCTGTGTTGCTGAAATTTGTGTGTCTAACCTGTTTCTTCTGATGCTTCACACCTGATGCTTCTGGTGTAGGCCCCCACTTTGGGAGCCTGATTATTCTGGGGGTGGTGTGTGAATTACACTTCCCCTGGGAGCCTGTTAGAAAGGGGGGAATGCAGACCCTTCCCTAAACCTCCTGAGTTAGCCACACCGGAACAGGTTTGTCCACACACCACAATTTGAGAAGACTTAAAGCATAAATTGGACAGAGCTGTAGTAGTCAGGACCAGGAAGCTATGGTACCCTGACTTGTGGTTTCCAGGCAAAGCAGCCTCTGTCTTCTGAGCACCCTGGCAAAGATTAGGTGAAGCATTGCTCTGGAGCATCAGTGCATGCATACAGATAGATCCTCTCATGTCTCTACCTTACTCCTACCCCTTGACTAGCAATGGGCTAGTAGCTAGTAACCTATATGCTCTTATTTCATGAGTAGAAGTCACTGCTTCCAATGAGGCCAGCTGCTGACCTGACAACCACTCCCTGTTCTCCTGACCTACAGGTGGTAGCCTTTGCCTCTCTCTTCTTCATCCTGGTCTCCATTACGACCTTCTGCCTGGAGACCCACGAGGCCTTCAACATTGACCGCAACGTGACAGAGATCCACCGGGTAGGGAACATCACCAGCGTGCGCTTCCGGCGGGAGGTAGAAACAGAGCCCATCCTTACCTACATCGAGGGTGTGTGCGTGATGTGGTTCACTCTAGAGTTCCTGGTTCGCATTGTGTGCTGCCCAGACACACTGGACTTTGTGAAGAACCTGCTCAACATCATCGACTTTGTGGCCATCTTGCCCTTCTACCTGGAGGTGGGACTGAGTGGCCTGTCATCCAAGGCGGCGCGGGATGTGCTGGGTTTCCTGCGCGTGGTGCGCTTTGTGCGCATCCTGCGCATCTTCAAGCTCACGCGCCACTTTGTGGGGCTGCGGGTGCTGGGCCACACGCTCCGAGCCAGCACCAACGAGTTCCTGTTGCTTATCATCTTCCTGGCCCTGGGTGTGCTCATCTTTGCCACCATGATCTATTATGCTGAACGCATTGGGGCCAGGCCATCTGACCCACGGGGCAACGACCACACCGACTTCAAGAACATCCCCATTGGCTTCTGGTGGGCCGTGGTCACCATGACAACACTTGGCTATGGGGACATGTACCCGAAGACGTGGTCAGGAATGCTGGTTGGGGCCCTGTGTGCGCTGGCTGGCGTGCTAACCATTGCCATGCCTGTGCCCGTCATTGTCAACAATTTCGGTATGTACTACTCCCTGGCTATGGCCAAGCAGAAGCTGCCCAAGAAGCGCAAGAAGCACGTACCGCGGCCAGCCCAGCTTGAGTCACCCATGTACTGCAAGTCTGAGGAAACTTCGCCCCGGGACAGCACCTACAGTGACACCAGCCCCCCTGCCCGGGAAGAGGGTATGGTTGAGAGGAAACGGGCAGGTAAGTCAAGCTTAGGCACAGGGCTCCTTTTCCCCAAGTAGTCAGGGAGTTAGTTCCCTTAGCCCTTGACATTGGCGGCCATGCTATACTGGGCAAACTGTTGTGTGTCAGGCGTGCCTCTAGGAGGGCCGTGTATTAAGATCAATCGTTTTGTCCCATGGTTTAATGATCGTGGCGAACACCAGGGTCTGTGGAGTGAATTGTCCTTTCAGTGTAGGATGTGATGGCAGTACATAGGACTTTGTGTTAGAAGGCATGGTTTCTAGTTCCTTCTCAGCCCCCTTGTTTTGTTTGAGAGTCCCTCTCCTCTAGGCACAACATATCAATAGAAATGGCGTATCAGGATCCTGCCCCCAGATGAGGGGTGGATGTGCCACACTCTGAGCAGCCAGAGCAAATGCCGGCGTTGATCCGATTAGCCAGAGACCAGGGCAGCTGTTCCTCCAAGGTGCATCAACACATGACTCACTTCTTTCCCAACATGCACGTCTGCTGTCTCTTGGCCTAATAGATGTGATAACGTAACCATGTGGGAGGCTGCCTTCTGTTCAGCTAAAGCAGGAGTGAGTCCTGGGCTCGGGGTTTGACATGGGTAGAAGGGAACCAGGGAAGAAGTAGCCCAGGGTCTTGGAAAAGCATGGGGGTGGGGGGATAGGGACATGGAAGGTGCTAGTGTTTGTGTCCTGACAGGAGTAAGACTAGGCATCAAATTCTGACCTTCCATGGAAGGGCCACTCCAGAAAGCTCACCTGCCGTGGGTCAGGAGACCAGAAGGGAAATCAGCCTGGTCCCCAAGAACATGGAAAGAGATTAAAAGACAGGCAAAACACTATCAGATTCAATGAATGGGCAGAGCTCTCAGGAATGGTACAAGCCCAGGTCTGGGGGGAAGGTGACCGGGTGTCAGGCCACTGAGGCTGGGCTGGGTAGAGCTGGGAAACTGAGGCAGCAGTTCCTGGTTAAACTCTAGAAGTGGGGCTGGTTCTCCAGAGAGGTGCCTGAGTTGAGACACTTACTTGTGACCCCTTGGCATGCAGCCATCACATGTGTTGGGGCTAGGTGCTCTCTGGAATTAACTGGGGTCTCGATCTTCCTTGATAAAGACCTTAATAGAAAAGTTTCCTTCTGCTCCTTACCACAGTGGTGCCTCTGATCCTATTGGAATCAGAGATGTGCTCTGAGGCCCAGGCAGAGCTCAGAGAGGATCCACATGTCCCAATACAAAGGACCTTAGGCAGCTTCCTAGATGCACACAACCCTGAGGCTTGACTGGCCACATTGGGGTCTTGCATGGCCAATGCCAGCGTCTTCGGGCTAAGTTAACCCCACCACATATACTCAGGGACCATAGTAGCTGTGCCCCTCTTTGACAGAGGCAAGGTGTTCCCACAGAGAAGAGTTGAATTGGAGCCTCTTCTCTATACCTTCCCAGACAGAAGAGAGCTCTGCCCAAGCCCTTCAGCACTGGCCCGGGTGCCCGGGGAACAGAATAACTGCCTTAAGTGGTGCAGGGAGAAAGCCAGAGAGCTACCGAGTACGCCTGGCACAAGAGCCACCACCCATTATCCCTACTAGCCAGGTCTTCTCTGAGGAATGCAGACTCATCAAGCGCCTACCTGAGCCAGACCAGAGGGGAAATAAGAATCTGTGCCTGCAGTGCTTGATCTCTGGGGACATCCTTAGAAGCCCATTGGGGGAATACTGCCACTGTAGGATGTCTGTGTTGTGTTCCAGCCCACAAGGGAGGCTGTAAGCCAAAGCTGAGAAAAGTCTTCAGACTAGGCACCGCCATTTTGCTTTTGCTTCCTGGACCTGGAGTCTGAGAGGCCCCAGATTGTTCCCTTAAGAAGGCCCCAGCAACTGTCTTAGGTCTTTTTCTCTCTGCCCCCTCCAGACTCTAAGCAGAATGGTGACGCTAATGCGGTGCTGTCTGATGAGGAGGGAGCTGGCCTCACCCAGCCCCTGGCCTCGGCCCCCACCCCTGAAGAGCGTCGGGCCCTGCGACGCTCAGGCACACGAGACAGAAACAAGAAAGCAGCTGCCTGCTTCCTACTCAGTTCTGGGGACTATGCCTGTGCCGATGGCAGTGTCCGAAAAGGTATGGTGGCTCCCTGGGCTGGGCAGGTTGGGAGCCCCTCCGGAGCTGAGTCTCCCCAGCCCTCCCCACAGAGCTTGAGATCTCCCCCTCCTCTAAGCCCATGGCCACCATCTCCTCTGCCTTGGATGCGCCCTCGCATTTAGAATGAGTATGTGGATTAGAAAGGCCTGTAGTATTCCCTAGGAGTCTATGGAGCCCCTCCCTCAAAGGTACCCACCAGGAGGAACAGTGCTAGACTTTTTATGGGATGCTCTATCGCCTCCCTGGCTCTGGTCCTGCAGGCCTAGCCCACAGGGTCATACCCAGCCATGTCCCTAGTCCTAAACACTACCAAAGCTTCCCCCAAGGAAGCAGACTCAGGAATTCCAGGTTCTAGGTCCTGTATCTCCAATTCTTCACTGGAGGCCTGGATCCCTTGTCTGGCAGCTGTTGGGATGTGATGGTCACGGGACCGGTCTGGGAGTGGCTAGGAGCAGTTGGGCAGGGAGCATGGTTCTCTCTCAGGAGCTAGCAGAAAGATTCTCAAAGTTAGTGGAGCAGCCTCTTACCTGTCTGTCAATGAAGTCTGGAATTCTATCACCAGGCTTCCAGTGTGTGGCAGGGACAAAGCTGAAGTCTTAAAGGAGAGGGAAACAGAAGCCAGTGGAGTGACAAGGGCCGGTGATGACTGAGAACCAGGAGGCTCAACATCAGAGCCTTGTCCTCCCTGTCTCCTGATCCCACTTTACCGTGATTGCCCTGTGTCCTGACCTCCCTAACATCCTGCCTATTTCCAGAAGAAGCTGTGTTTCTCCCTAAACAAACATCATCCCCAAGCTTTCTCTCTGGCCACTTCTCAACTTGCAAGGTCCCCCCCCCTCAACTTCCCAGGGTCCCAAATCCCAGACTGTGACCTGTTTGAATCAGACAAGGGTAGTGGTTGCTGCAGAAATAGCCTGCAATGTCTCTGGGCCCTAAAGATGGCTCCTAGCTACCCGGTCCAGGCAGTCTCTGGGGCACCTTCCCCTGTGCTTCTTAGGCATCCTGATCTGATAAGCCGTGAGAAGTGGCCATTCGGCTTTGCTGTGCACCTGTCTCACTGAGTGGCAGCAACAGGAGCCGCAGTCTGGCACCTGGAAGGAGATGGTCCAGAGGTAGAGAGTGCTCAGAGCTCATAGACCCTCGCCTGTGACTTCCATGCTCCAGCCTTCAGGCCCTGGACATGCCTTTCTCCCTTGCACCTCAAGAATACAGTAGTACCACTGTATTCTCTCTCACACCTAGAGAGCCTTACTCAGGCTGCCGCCTGCTAAGCCACGGTGTAGAATGTATCCCCCACTCTTGTGGAGGACTTGAGAATACAGGGCTGAAGGATGAACACCCTGGCGTCCCTTCTCAGGCTGTGCTTGGTGGCAGTAGAGTTGTGGAAGAGACCGTGAGAACACAAGTCAGGAGAGCCCTAAGGGCAGGTACTCCGATATGTACCAGCACGATACAGAAGAACCTCTATCCCTTCACGTTGCCTCCCCAGGGTGCCTTTGGGGGCCGATCTGCTCTATTTTCAAGATGCCTCCACACTGCTTCTTGGCAACAAGCATGTAGCTCAGCCAATTAGAGTGACCTTCGAGAGGGAACAGGTGGGTTGCTGGGAAACAGGCCCTGCTAAGCAAGTGTGGCAATTAATATCACCAGACTCCCAGCGCGCACTTCACAACTTTCCCCACGCCACACCTCTCCACAGTCATATAGACCTAGGACAAGGGGAGGCTGAGTCCAGGCCTGTTGCAGCCGTCACGCTGACCCCATCACTAACCAGTAGTTTTCCAATGAGCCCGGAGTGTATGTGGCATGGGCGCTCACGGGGGAAGGCAGGTATTGGAAGCTGTGCAGTCTCTGCAGCTGGACCAGCGAGAGCAGGGCAGGACACAGGTTAGCTGTGCGGAGGTCCTATGGTCTGACCTCAGGAGCCCAGGAGACTGATGGCAGGGAGTGGCAGGAAGCCACTCACAACAAGGAGTGATCCCTTCACCCCAGTCCGGGGCCACCCACCCTATAGAGTCTCTTGAAGTAGCATGGATCCCATGGAGCTCCCTTGTTGAGGAGATAACTCCACTTTGACCCGTGTGCCTTTTCTTCACCAAGGCTGCGAAAAGTCCCGGAGTCTAAACAACATAGCAGGAGCGGCTGGAACCAGTCTGGGGCTGTCTCCACTGGCATCGCGGTACAGCTCGCCCTATCCTCCGAGAAAGCTCCTGCTCTCGCACCCCTTCCACCCTCTCACCAGCCCCCCACCTGGCCACTCAGGTCCTTAGCTGTCCCATGGCCTTCCTCAGCTCTGACACTGGGACACATATCCAAGTAGGCATGTTTACATGCCATCCCAGCCCTCATCCCTCCTGAGGTCTGAGAAAACAGCAGAAGGGAACTTCAGTCAGGATGGAGAATTCGAGTCCCTGAGCCAGCCCTCCACGGCACCTGGCTCCCCCAAACGGTCAGCCCTGGAACCTGAGTACAAAGGGGGAGATACTGTCAGCTTCTCCCTGAACCATAGGTGCTGGCGCACTCAGGACCTGTGTCCCTGGATTTTGCCTTCAGCTTAGCATCCTATAGGCCAGGGCGTGCGTGGTACACGGAGTATCGGAACTACTCAAACTTGCCTGCAAATCAAACCTACATTTGTATTTTAATCACAGAAATTTAATTTGCATTCCTTATGGCCTTTAACCAGTAACCAGCTTGTCTGTCTGTCTGTCTATCCACCCCACACCAAGATCAGCAGGTAACAAGGCTGTCTCATGGGGCATCTCTGCTGGTGTAAAGGACATTTGGCTCCTTGGACCAGCAGCACCTGTCGACAGAGCTGCCCTGGGAGCAGGACCTGGTGTTTTCCAGCTGTACCTTGGGGCACAGATGGGAGTTCCTAGAACCCAAGCCCCAAGCTTGGTGCAAGCCCTGGTGTGGCAGGGTGTGTAAGTGCAGGGAGGCCCTCCTCCCCGAAGCCCGTGCCCAGATTCAGCGGGTGACACCCAGCTTCCCATCTGTGCCCTGCGCTGCAGCATCTCCACACTGCTTCCTCTGCTTCAGCGACAGTTTGCTCCCTCTCTTTCTCGCTCCCTGATTCCCAGCCCTGCCTCTGAGTCACCTGCCACTCCCACCCAGCCTCTGCTCTGTATTCCTGCCAGAACCGGAGACTCATCTAATTTCTATAATTAAGTGTATTCATTTACCTAACGAGCCCAGGAGCACAACAGGTTTGTGAGTCATTGGGTGAGCAGGGGTACACCTTGCACAGAGACAGCTGAGGGGAAGTGAGGAGACAGGAGCGCTCCTACCCACACCTGCCACCGGGCCCCACCTGCTCCCAATAAGCCCCTCCCTCAGCCCCGGGCTAAAGGACAAAAGCCTCTACCAAGCCTCCCTGCTTTACCTGATGGGAATTGACCTGACAGCAGAGCCTCGCGCCTGGCAATCTTAGAGTCCGATTATGCAACTTTGAAAAGGGCGTGGCTAAGGAAGGTCCATATTTGCTCCCTACAGGGTAATAAAGGGACCTGGTGAGGCAGCTTTAGGGACCTGGCAGGAAACTGGGAAATCAGGGGGGTCAACACAGAAGGTGGCCCAGGCATAAATGTAAGCTCGTTTCCTGAGGTTGGAGCTTTGCAAAGCGTGTGACAAGCACTGTCGCATGAGCAAGCACTAGCTGACTGACCTTCTGGAAGTTCTGTTAGATCAGGCCCTGGCAAACTCCTGTCCAGCCGTGCTCTACAGGGCCTGTAGCCACTGGCTCTCAGGAGGAGGTGTTTTCTGAGAGGTAAGATGAGGAGATACAGGGAAGCCTGGGAAGCCGGCTGAGTCTGAATCGAGCCTCCTTGTGGTAGATTCGGCCCCACCCAGCGGGGCTCCTGGCACCAGGAGACTGTGGTCTGACAGAGACAGGATGAGCCCGGTGTCCAGTTTAGCATGGGTACCACAGCTATTTTCTCTGGCTTGGCGCTCTGGTTTGGGGAGCCGAGGCAGCTTTTTCTGTGGCAGCTCTCAAGCTGTCAAGAACCCAGGTTTCCACGGCACCCACCGCCTCCTCCCCTCTTCCCTCCTACAAGGATGGGCATGCTTACAGCACCCCTGTGGGGGGCACAGATGTCCCTGGAAGACACAGTACATCTGCCGGGTTGAAGCCCCTAGCATTTGGTTGGAGAGATGGGCTCCTATACCTACCCCTAATCTCCTGGCTCCATAGGGAAGAGGCAGGGCCCAGTCGATGGAAGAGCTAGGTGAGTTATCTGCCCTCAGCTACCTCGTAGGACTTTTGTGTTTGCCCAGGGTCCCAGGAAAGAAAAAAAAGTCCATTTTGTATAGAGTCTTCCATGCCTCCCCTAAGAGGCAATTGCCTATATAAGCCTCAGATCCATTCAGGTGTTGAATGTCCTTCACAAGGAGAAAGGTTTATCCCATGGAGACTGACGGCATAGTTAACTTTTCCTTGCATTGGACTTGGAATTGGACCTGTTGCTTTTGCCTTTAGAACATGACCCTGTAGCTGGGGACTGGGGGCCCTGCTTAAAGAGCAAGCAGGCAGCCTAGGATCAAACTCAGAGCCTTACCTTCCAGACTATGCCAGGACTCCTGACAACCCTAGAGGTAGCTGTGCAGCCCAGTCTTCTAAAACAAATGGCTGTGAGGTGTCCCCAGTGGGAAGGGGCCTGACCATCCTACAGCCTACAGGTCAGTAAGGACTTAGAAGGAATTCTGAGTACTGGTCAAGGCTCCTGAAAGCATCCCTGGGCCTTCACAAAGTATCAAGAGAGCAAGACTTCCCTGCCCTTGTCAGTTTCTCTCTGAAGCTCCTGCCCCGATCCTAATAAGTCGTGTGGGATGGATTCCAGCAAAAGACTGCTAGAAAGAATCTCCCCAACTGACTGTCAGAGGACCCCCAAATGTGGAAAACATAGAAACCGTTGACCAAAGCCACCTGAAGCCATTCTTTCCCCAGTGGATCTTAGGCTCTAGTGATCTTTAGGGTGCCCCAAGCCACTCCCCTTTTCCTGGTGAGTAGGGACCAGTCCATGGCTGACGCTTCTGAACGTACACAGACAGAGCAATGTTAGAACGTGGTGTAAAGAATAGCTCTGTCTTGTCCTCAGAAATGGAGTGCTGGAGAGTCTTGGGCTCACTCCTGTGGTTTTCTAAGGGACTGTGTTTAAGGAGGTGCTTGGGGCCACAGTCTTAAGGAGATGGTAACAGGTCATGCTGAGATGAGAATATATATATATAGTAAAAAGCCTTTAACATGTCAGGGAGCCCTAGTGTAGAAGCAGTGAGGCTTGGATGCCAAATGACATTCAGAATAGCTGTACTAATCAGTGTTGGGGTTGAAACTTCACCACACTGTTAGCTCAGCCTCCCTAGCTGTCTAGCCAGTACTGCCACTGGGAGATAGAAAGAAGACCCAAGCCTCAGATATCTGAAACTGAGGGCGTGGGTTTCTTAGTAAGATGCCATATGCCAGCCTGCTCTCCCAAGGCAATGTGCTCTCCATACCCATGCCCCAGGACTCTGCCTATCACTTTGAGGTCAGGGGCTGGGTGTGACGTGTCTTCCCACTCTAGAGCCATCTTCACTGGCCCCTTGGGACAGTGGGGTTGTCCATGGTGGTGAGGGCAGACGGGGCTATTTGGGGGAGAGCACAAAGAGAGCAGAGGGCAGTTGGAGTGAGGGGCCACAGAGCCATAGTCTACAGCAGGAATTTTCACCGCTGCCTCCCTGCTGGGCTCTGTGGAGTCTGCTATGGTTCCTCTCCCTGCCGCAGTAGACCTCCGAAGACCTGAAAGGCTAGTAGTTCTTGGAAATGGCTACCTGAGTCTCAGTGTCACCTGGGTCTCCTCGGCCTGGAGTCGGGTTGGCAGAGGAGAGATGAAGGTCTCGCCGCACTTGCTGTACCACCCCGGTTCTTCCTTGCCTCTTAGCCCGGGGTCCCCTCTGCCTTCCAGCTCTGCTCTTGACTGTTCCTTAGCCCACAGCCCGTGGGTCAGCAGCTGGCTGGCTTCCTTCTAACGTCTCACTCTTTGTTTCTCCCTTTCTTTTGCTGAACTCTTGACCCCCCCCCCCCCAGAAGGCAATGTTGAACGGAAAGTGTGCGTCCCAGTGTCTCACACCTGTGCTCTTTAAACACAGAGACCTGCCAAGACGCCCTCTCGTCCAACTATGCCCACGCTGAAGTCCTCACCCTCTCTTAAGGCGGCACCAACGTGAGAAAGACAGGCAGACAGACAGAAAGCCAGAGGCTTAGGGAAACTCTGGAATCCAGGCACGCATCCTTTGCTGGGAAAGACTCAGATATCCTTGTTTGCACAGAACTGGTGGAGAAACCTCCCAGGCGACTCTCGGGCCCCAGAGCCATCTGGGTCTGATGCTCTGTTCTACTGTACATTGAAGAGACATATATGCACATAAAGTATCTATATTCATACGTACTCTATACTCTTGTGTGTAGTGCACGTGCTCCTGGTGGTCTGTCTTCATTGTTAGGCTATGTCTCCCAAGTCTTCTTCCCACCCTGTTATCCCCTCCCCTCTTCCTTCGTGGATTGTTCCTTCTGACCATGTTGTATGGAATGTCCCAGGGAAAGTGCTGGGCCTGGCACCTGCCCCTCCAGCTGGGTGGTCCCAGGCTGCTCTCACTTGGGGTGTTTCCCCTGCCAGCAGGTGGTCTGCTGAAGTCTGTTAAGGCAAGATTGCCCTCCAGGGTCACTGCTTCACTAGCCCAACCCCACCCCAGATTGGGGTTCTACCTCCCACCCCACACCCCAGTTTGTGGGGGCACTTCCAGGGGCTCTTCTGTAGCCTCTGTAGCTCCTTCCAGCACCCCCTTCTGTGCCCTTAGCAGAGGGGAGTTTCATTTCTTTTGTGTGAGTCTCCTTCGTCCATTTGTTTTCAAAGATGCTGCTGGGCAGATGGAAGGGGATCTGTTTGCCCATCTGGCTCAGGGGTCTGAGAAGGGGACACCTTGGGCGAGAGAGGAGACCAGTCGCAATACTGTACTTCCTGGCCGGCGGCCAGAGGACGCGTGCAATAGCAGAGGCCAGGTGACCCCCTTCAGCCTTGGCCTCTGCCCCTCCCTAGGCCCTTCCTGCCCATCCTTGGTATTGGTCAGTCCTTTTCTAAAGCTGTTCCCTCGTGTGTGTCTGAGGCACGCCTAGGCCGGGCCCCTGTGCCCTGTCTGCACGCCCTCAACTGTCATGCTGTGCTCGAGCACCAATAAAGACATCCAAGTGTCCTGCTGCTCCTCTGTGAGCATCTGCCTCGCCTCTCTTTTCTGGCTGTGGGTCTGTGGTTCCAAACAACCTCCTGTCTGCGTCTAAGGAATGCACGCACACCTGAGCTCCTACCAGGGATCCTCCCAGTGACCCAGCTCCTGCATTTTACAGCTAGCAGTAAGTACTCAAAAGTGACCTGCTCGAGGCAGCCAAGGGCATAGCACTGAACCCCTCACTCCTGGGCAGTGTCCTGATACCTGCTGCTGCCACCTGAGTGACCCCCACCCCCGCCATAGCATGGAATAAGTCTTCCGTGTCTAGGGAAGTCTACTGTATGCCTGCTTGTTTGTCCAGGGACTCCCTCTCCCTGCGACTGCATCAGTTTTAAGTGGGCCAAGGCTCTGGGGAGGCCAGCCATTGCAAGGACTGCATGAGGGCTGAAGGACCAAAGCCAACACTGGACCGGTGTGATACAACCAAGGGCCCCTTGGGGATGGAGAATGGGCAGACCTGGAGTACGTGGACTAGGGAAATGGCAAGTTCGTGAACCCTGGTGACCCTCACTATTCCTTTCACCCCCGCTTAGGGGCATACACGAGGCTGGCTTTATGGATGCACAGCCCCGCAGTCACCCAGAAAGGATCCCCATACTGTCATCACTAATCCTCAGAAAGATCTGTGGTTTCGTTTGTGCTGGGCTCTACAAATCACACAGCCAAATCCAGGTGCATGTTCTCGTCTCCCTACTCCCCACTGTCTAAATAAACCTCCATAGGTGCCTCCATTTAGTCTTGATCTGCCTCTTATTAGCTAGCAGTCTTGGGGGTAACTCCTCAGATCTGTTTTCATGCCTTTAAAATAATGGTGCTTATTCCAAAGACAGCATAACAGCCTGGCCCAAGGTCAGGTGTCTGCACAGGGCATACAGGGGACAGGAGCTCTCCCGTAAATTCTAGCTTCCCGCCTCACCCTTGCCTTCAGTTCAGGCTTTTTTCCCCCACAGATTTCTTCATGTCCAAACACACTCAGAAAAGACAAGAACACACCAGGAGCTGTCTAGGGCAATGCAGAATGGCAGGGTGAAGACCGCAGGGCCCTGGGGAAGGAAGAAACAAGGGGAAGCCTATTCCTGAAGTGGCATGGAAAACCAGTCATGAGCCTGGGCCAACAGTAGAGGCAGGATGGTGGCAGGCGGCCAGTTGTCAATTAAAGATGAAATCTCTCCTCCAACTGGAGGGCAGATAGGGCTGTGCCCTACCCCCCCCCCCCCGCCCCAAGAGAAAGCCATTTGCAGCCAGGCTGCTCGGAGAAGCTTGGCCAGGCGATAATGGGATGGGATGTACTGCTGACTCCCTAATGACATTACGCATCAGGGCCCACATCCAGAATGGCTGTTTTTTACTTTAGCTGGTTTTTTTTTTATTTTGTTTTTTTAACATGAATCCATATTTATGGGCTCAGAACCTAGCAAACAGCACATGGGTATTGGATGCCAGAAACATCCAAGGGGACCTACGGGGGTGTAGCTGGGATACACAGCGACACTTCAAAACTCTGGAATGGGCAGATGCAGAGTTGCCCACGTGTCCCAGAAGCTCCACCATGAAGGGAGACACACGGTAGGCTTCTGCTCTCCGTGGGTCCAGCACTGAGTCCTAACTTGGGAGCTGCCTTAGAGAATAGAATCACTGTGCTGGGATGGGCTTTTAGAGTCAGAGGGACTCGGATGTGAATCTCAGATCTGTGACTTCTTAGTTCGGCCTTGCTGAGGTTGCCTGAATCTCCATTCCTCATTGTCATAACCGTCATAGTTGTAGGTATACTGAGCTGTAGAAGAATGATGCTAGGTGGTACCAGGAAGTTTTCTGCACAACATAATCATCGCTTACTGAGCTGGCAGGATTGCTCAGTGGGTAGAGACCCTTGTTGCCAGGTCTGACAGCCCTGAGTTTGATCCCTAGGACTCTCATGGTGGAGGGACAGAACTGGTTCCTGCGAGTCATCCTTGGACCTCCACATGCACACAAATAAATAAATTACTAAAAATCATTGCATTTAAACAAATATGGAGGGGGGGCATTCCTGTGAGGCAAACTTCAGCCAACAGCGGCAGTTTGGTTTGATGCCTTCCCTTTTCAAAAGAAATGCTATGAATTAGCCTCCCTTTCTTTTGACAAAGGAGACAAGGGACTAATTAAACAGCATGCGTGTATTTCGCCTGAGACACGCGTGTAATGTGCATGGAAATGCATTCCGAGATTGATGTGACGCTTTGCTCCACAGAGAAGAAAATGCAGCACAGCACATAAGGTCATTTCTCCAGAATTACAGTCCTGTAAGAGCCACAAAAGCTGAGACCGAGGCCCACCAGAATGACTCTACTGCCCCAATGCCTGGACAGCATCTAAACTGGGGAAGGCTTGGGAGGTAAAACCCCTGGTGTGGAACTTAGAATGATTTTCATTTCCTTAATCTCAATTGACGCCTTTAGCAAAAGTATTGGTTCCCCCTTAGAGGATAAGAAAACCAGGGCTTAAAAAAGTGGGTTGAATTCACTCTCTCATGCCTGTGTAAACACACATACATACACACACACACACCCTGGGGAAGAAGGAACATCTTGACTTCATTAATTAATGACCAAGTGGCAACACCTAGCTCAGGGAGTGACAAGTCCCTTCCCAGTGACACACAGAAGGGAAGCCTGGGTGGGACTGGCCTGGAAACCAGGGAACAGGGGGAGCGGCTTGTCCTGGAGAAGATCTGGTAGAAAACCAGCTCCCAGGCTCAGGTATTTGACGAACACTGCAGTAGTGGGTACCAGTTATTGGTAGAAATGTTCAGAAGGTCAAATGAAAAGCACTATTTGGGGGTTGGGGCGCTGGCTTAGTCAATAAAGTACTTGCTTTTCAAGCAGGAGGACTTGCATTTGATCCCCAGAATCTACATCTTTAAAAAACTGAACATGGCGGCGGTGTGTGTTTGTAATTCTGGCACTGGGAGGCAGGACAGGCAGATCCTTGAAGCTCACTGGCCGGCTAGGCTAGTCCATTTATCAAGTCCCAGGCCAGCAAGAGATCCTGTCTAAAAGACAAAGGTACATGACATGTGAAGATCGACACCTGAGGTTATGTGCATGTGCACACACACACACACACACACACACACACACACACACACACCCCTTATTTTTGTTTCCTTCACAGACTTAGTGGAAAATGTTAGAAACCCTCCCACACCAACTCAGCAGAGAAGCCTGGATCTCCTTCCCTGCACTTCACTGTCCCCCAAGAGGTGGTACTGTGAGTGAACATCTGGTCAAGGTCTTCCAGGCCTTCCGACATCAAGCTTCCCAACAAAACAACCAAGAAACGATTAGGAACAGCCTCCGCTATAGGCTGAGGGGAACTCCATTCCTAGAAGTATGAGGGAACACCAGGAACCGAGTGCTGGTTGTGGGAGGAATTCCTGCATGGCGTGCAAGGTGGTCAGACCTCTGACTGGAAGGCTGACTCAGCCAGGGCAGGCCCAGAACTTAGAGATTCAGGGAAGACTCAGATGAGCTGCTTTCCTGATGGGACTTTCCCAGATTCCGTGCACCGACAAAGAACATCTGAGACATTACAAGACAGCAATGACTCAGTAGACATGGACTTAGGTTGCCATGTGACCCACCACCAGCCCCCAGGGATCCCTGTGGCATTGTCATAGGGAGCACCTGTGTTTAGCTCAGAACTCCCAGCCTTTGTGCATGACAGTGCTCACATACTAGCTGACCTGTGAGCTAGCCCGGTCCCTGAGGACTGCAGTCATCACACTCAGGCTCAAACGACATGTGACGTGCGTTGCTCCCTGTCGGGACTGTCAAGGACTCGAGACCGGGCTGTCTCTTAAGTACCCCAGCTTTACCTTCTGCCAGGTGTCTGCTTGCCTTTCCAGAGACTGCTGGGAAGGGCATGGTTAAAGTATGTACTCGGGTCATTTGCGACTAGATTACTGGAAATGCAGAGTCTTGGTCTTGGTTGAATTTGGGTCCCTGCTACCTAATGCAACAGTCCCCGGTTGTTGGGAGGGCCCCCTCTCTTCTCCATAGTGTTTCCTAGGTGACCTTGCCCGCTCCCATGCTTTAAACATTTATAGATGCTGATAGCATCCCTGTTTCTAGTCCCATTTCAGAAATGCCCTCTCACATCTGTCCGGTCATTCAGCAAGCACACAGTGGACCTCCTTCATCGCATGCTGCTCTCTACACTGCCTGTGTGGCCCTGGTGCAGCATCTTTCCTGCTGCCCCACGGGCCTCTGATTTCACCCTCTGCCTTCCCTCTGTCCACACACCCTACAGCTGACCAGAAGCCGGGTGGAAGAGCGCAACCATAATCTCACCTTCTCACTCCCGTATTACTTCACTCCCTGTTTTCAAACACAAGATTGTTAAATGCTGCGCTTCATCCTGGGGAAAGAGCGGTAAACAGGACCCCTGCTCACACGGAGCTTGTGTGCTTAATGGGGAAACAGGTCAGCCACGATACTTTTCTGCCTTGGAAATGTACTTCCGATATTCTCTTCCTGCTCCCTTCCCAGATTGTCTGTTCTGTCTGAGGTCCCCAGCCTGGTCCTTTTGCAGGAGGCGCCTCCCAGGCCTCCCTGTGGCCCTCAGCTCCTCCATCATCCTCTCCAGTCTCTGCCCAGCAACCAGAGAGCAGCTTCAAGTGGATCAAGATCCTGTTACCCTTAAAACCCTTGGTGGCTTCCTTCCCACTGCATTTCAATAAATTCAAAGCCTTCAACGGGGGCTTGGGGCATGGTTGTTTCTCAGCCCCTGTCCCTATCCAACCCACCTCCACTTCTCTCTCTCTCTCTCTCTCTCTCTCTCTCTCTCTCTCTCTCTCTCTCTCTCTCTCTCTCTCTCCAGCCTCCTGAAAGTGTTTTGACACATGCTGGTCCCCTCACAGGAACCACTTCCCTTCCCCACCCACTCCAGCCCTTCCCTTGGCTGGGTCCATCTTACCCTTTGCATCTGGCAACTTCAGTGTGAC